CCCCCCCCCCCCCCGAGATATAGCTGAAAGAAACCCTGTGTGTGTGTGGGAGGGGCTTTTAAAATATCACATGCACTCGTGCTGATGAAAATGTAAATGAATTCAATACTAAAATCAAATCGGCATACAAAATATTGATGGGCATTTGAAAGCTGGGATGGTGAAATGGTGGACAGGCGTTTCCAGGGGAGATGCACACACTCACACAAATACACAAAATTCAATCAAAGGACAAAAATAAAAAAAATAGAAAAACAACAATGAGTTTCATTTTAAGACTATTCAAATGGCACGGCTGATGGTGGTAGGAGTGAATTAGTTACGGCAGGTGCCCTCATTTTGATGGATTTCATTGTGTGTCTTTATGGAATTAGTAACAATCACGGGTCTATTGATTTCACATTTATTCAGAGGCCAGAAAACAAAAATCGATCATCAATTTCATGGATTCTCAATCTGGTATATTGGACTCACTAAATAAATATTCAATTAGTGGTAGCGTATTTAATGTATGCCCATGCAGGATTCTGTAATCATGTTTCAATTCATTGTGATTGTGTTGGTTAAATTAGCAACCCTGTATAAGTTCGAGTGCAGCTTTAAATGCATTAATATTTTTAAAAAGCCAAAACAAAGTACTCCTACTAACTCTTACACGAAGACACTGAAGAGAATAGAGCTAGTGACAGGGTATATTTTAAGCTATAAGGATTTCTTGTATATTAATTTTGTGTTTGTTTTCGAAAAAGTTTTTTAAAAAAGATCTGAAGTATGCACTCTGTTTGAAGGCATCATTTTCTCAGTGCTGTCAGTGGGTCATGCTTTTATGCACATACTTTTTAAGAACTAAAGAACCACCCATACAATTTTAAAATGCAAATAAACTATTCCAAGGGATTGCATGCTGGAATTTCATTTTAAATTATTATTTCTTGTAACTTTTTTAACATTTTAAATAAGACAATAACAATTTATCTTAGAGACAGTACTCATTCTATATGAAAAGTGATCATCTCTCCCTTTGGTTCTGCAATTCAATATGCAAAACTGCTAAAAGGTTTCTAATTAAAATCTATCAATCATAAAAAAAGGTAAAGGCTCAGACAAGAACCATTAAAAAAAGGCAGTAATAAATACGAAGAAGGAGCAAAGTCAGTCTGCATCATAACCATAATGCAATCTGATAGACTGATGAATGAAAGCTCAGTAAATTATAGAATGATTTGATAGCATTACATTAAGATTTAAGAAAAAATAACTGAGTAGGCTTATCGTGAATATGGATTAAAATATCAAAAACCTTTTCCCTCCACAGAGCAAAAAACAAATATTCCAAATGAATTAGATTAAGCCTGATTAGGTCAATGAACTAGAACATGGATCTTACAGGATATAATAAGATCATTTTTCTCAGCATATTATATAATGATTAAAAAACAACATTTTTTTGTATAGCTTTAGATTTTTTGGAAACTGCAATAGTTTATAAACATCTGAACCTGAGATCCACAGTTGTGACGTGATGATTTTAGGGATGTCACAAAAAATATCAAAGTTATGTGTGGTTTTGTAAATAAAAATTAAACAAAAATGTAACTGAACTAGAACTGTAAGAACATCAAAATCAACATTGTAGGGCTTTTATAATAAGAAAAAAAAACACATTATTTAAGTCACCCAGTGAGCCACACCCAGTGAAAAGTGACATTTAAAAAAAAAACAACCATTAATGAAGTCACCTATTGAGCCACACCCAGTGGAAAGTAAAGAAAGTGACACGCCAGTGCAACTGCAAATAGTGGTTGTTCATGTAATTTTATGTAAATATATGTGATATAATTATATGATGCATTATAACAAAAAAAATATCATGAATTTCATAAACAAAAGAAAATGAAAACATCATTTAATCTCAAATTAAAACATTTTAAAAACATTTTTAATTTGGAATAACCTGGCATCTAATAATACAGTGACAATAAAATTGTATTTTAACTGTATATATTTGTGTTTATAGTCACATATAAAAGTAGTAGGCCTAATATAATCTAAATGATTAATCCTTTTTTACATTATTTAAATTGCTGTCATTACTAATAATAATATTATGCATTGGTGATTGATTTTCTGTTAACTTTATTAATTAATTTATTACAAGTTTAAATCTTTCTTTAGGCAGGTCTATTTTTAACTTATATTTTAGGGCAATTCAATATCTTGGGAAAAGCTACACTAAGAGAAATAATAATTACTAGTCTTAATTTACTTTGTTGAGTGTATTATCTACTATTCGTCTAAGTCAATGATATTGATACAGGCTTAGCCTAAGTTAAGTAGTAGCACTAGACTAGATAAAAAAAATAATTTAAATAATACTTACAATCACACAGGCAGTAGTACCGGGTATCCTCTTTTCAATAAGTTACAAATCATTTTATTATAATCAAGGAAGCTAAAATCTTAAAAATTAAAACATAAATAAAAAATATTATTCCTGGATTTTATATATTTTTTTTTATTGTTTGAAGTTCATAAATTTCTACTCTTGAACTTGACGCACACAGTGACATGGTACTGAAGCATATCGACGCCATTGCTAGGTTACAGTACAAATTATCTTAACCCCTATTCAAAAAGAGCTCCATCTAAAAATTTGATAAATTTCGCAAACAAAAAATCATAATGTAAACAGAAAAATAGACCATAAATTATAATTATAGGTGATACGTTTTTAAAAATAGTCTAACGAACTAATATATAGTAATATTTAAATAATAATTAACTTAAAACATATAAATAACGTTACTAATTTTCTGTGGAAAGGGAGAATTGTCTCAATTGGCAATTGAATTACTTAAACTTAAAATAAAGTCTACTGAACTGCTGTTGTCTCAATAGTTACCGTGAACTGACGGCCTTTCAGTTATAATTTCATTTATCAAAACTAAATTGTTTATATACTTTTATGAAAAAAGTTTATTGGATGTTACTAACATCTTTCAATTAGAAGCCTGGGATGATTATATACATACGTCGTTATCTACATAAGGCGCCAGCAATAAATTGCTACATGACGTCACGGTATTTAGTCCGACCCCCCCCTCCCTTTTACTTTAAGAAATCGTTATGAATTTGTAACATAAATTCGACATTTATATCATATATCGTTACAAATTCATGCCCTCATCTGCCCACCTGGAAGCATGGCGTCGTTAATGAATGGCCCCATAATTAATAATTGACAACTATGCCTACTATAGTATAAAGGTGGGATGTTGAAGTCAAGTGTTGATTTCGGTACGTTAAGGACTTATACGAGTGTGCAAGAGAATACAATTAAGGTAGAGGTGATAGTTGATATTTTATAAATATCAATCAAACTTGTGTGTTTTACTCAATCTATTTAAACGCAACTGAATAGCTCACGAACTTCACATTCTACTATTTCTACTTGATGCATAATAAGTTGTGTTTCAGAACCATCCATTATTTATTGGTAAATAGGAAGACCTATTCAAGGTGCTTCCAAAAATTCGTAAAATTTTATTTGGTTTATTATTACAGTCAATAACGATAATCATGATAAAGGTTATAGTCGGCCGAAGAAATTGTCTTACTATATCAAGGGGCCTCGTTCGTAATTTTCATTTAGAAGAAGCTGCTCCAAAAATTGGAACAACTCAAGATGTTAATTCACCAGAGTACCAGGTAACCTACTTTCATGCTCGAACTTTTAACTTTATTTTCTCGGTCTCAAAATTGAAAGTAATATAATATGAAAGTCAACATTTTTCATGTCTACTGAATTCATGTCTAGGTTGTCTAACTACTGTCAGATAAACAATAAAATGGAAGATAGTATAGGCACAGACAAAAATAATGAAATGTTCCTGGTCATCATGCTCATACTTAAGTCTTATAGTCTTATGTATTGCAGAATGTAGCAACTGTATGTAGTATGTATCAGTATCAGTATCAGTCGTGACTGTCCGGATCAATAAGTCAATGGCTGCTAAACTAATAATAATTAAATAGTAGTGATAGTTAGGCCTATAATATTATTACTACATGTATTACAAGTAAATTGTAGGAGGCTATAACAATTTTTTTTAAATATTAGGCCGCTAAATTAGGCCTAGTAATAGTAGACTGAGGCAAGCACAGATTAGTTTTTATCATAATAATAAAATAATCATGTCAATTTCTATTTTAAAATGACATTTTAAGATTTATTCAGATATCTCAAGTTCCAGTACACAGAATATTTAAAAAAAATCTTATTGATTGTTAACACGAGCAAATTCCGTGTCCAGGGAAGATGGGAAAAAAAAATGGCAAAATTTATTTTTTCCCACCGGTGATGAACATTATTTCTGGTCCAATTTAGATTTAGATCAGCGGTTCTCAACCTATGGATCGTGATGCCTTTGGGGGTTGAATGACCTTTTAACAGGGGTCTCGTAAGACCATCGGAAAACATATATACTCTACAGTTATGAAGAAGAAGCGAAAATAATTTTATGTTTGGGGGGTCGCCATACTTTGAGGAACTGTATTAAAGGGTTGCAGCATTAGAAAGGTTGAGAACCACTGATTTAGATGATCAACAGCATTCTTTAGGATCCAATATTAGGGTGCATTTGCTAAAAAAAAAGTATTTACAACATATATGGCTTACCCAAAGGTCAAAGTGACACAGAAAGAGAAAGCAGCATCACCTCATTGCATAAATTGTATGAGTGTCACCGTAAGACAAATATTTTACTTAATTGATGATAAAATTAAATTATTATAAGAAAACTGATGTTAAAGTTAAAAGGCAAAAAATGAGATCAATTCAGAGACGATTTTTTATATGGCCAAAAAAACACTAGCTCCTTTTTTTGACATATGCAGATTTAATATCGAAGTACCTATTAATACTAATTATATTTAGTTTACAAATCTTTAGATTAAGTAAGTCAAATCTGATCTCATATAGCATAGGCCTATGAACAGTGGCGTAGCTAGGGTTAGTGCTGCCTGGGGCAAAGATTTTTGCTGCCCCCTCTCAGACAAAATAACTTAGCAGTTGGCCAACAATGTCATGCCCTACTCTTCCTCTGCCAGTGTGATGACCAGACTCTCAGAGACAGAATATGCCTCTTTTGTCTTTAACAGTTTATTGTAGGAAACTGTCCTAAAATAAAACATGGCATTTTAGTATTAGTACTGACTGTCTGGATCAGAAGATATACTTCTTTTCTGTGTTGTTTAATCTGTGTATTATTGTTGCTCTTTTGATTGTGAGGTCAAAGGGAAAACGTAAACATTGGTCTCTATACCTATGCTTTCTATTTATTTTTGAAAAAGATCCATTGTCAGTACTACTACTACAACTAGGCTATGAGTATTATTAATAGATTAGATATATGTGTTTATAAGTTTAAAGATTATGCCTAATCTTAATTACCGTACCCGATTATAAATTGCACGGTTTTGTGTTTCAAATATTTTTTTCAGGAAAAGTACTCTCGAATGCACGCTTTGGTTCAAGAACTCAGAGAAAAAGTGTCTCATATACTTTTGGGTAATTTGGCTTTCACTGATGGTAACAAAATAATTCAGTAAGAATGAACCATGTAATTTAGATTGAGCACATTAGCCTTAAGAGTCACTTGAAACATGGTTGTTAATTTTCTCATATAGATTAAATGATAAACTTAAGCATAGGGTGTGCGACCTGTGCCCTCGCACAGGGGGGTCATGGCTATAGTGGTGCCTAGGGCGCCCAGTAAATGTTTAAATTCCCTTAGTTTATTATAGTGAAGTGTGAACCTCGAGTCCAGGGTCGAGAAACGGCATTCTAACTTTTCGTACAATCACGTTTCATACAATGAGTTTTCATATAATGAAAGTTCTTCTTCTATATATTAAGGGCCCACGATCAATTTATTGATCATTCTGGCTCCTATTTATGTATAGTGGATTTGCAATGTTTCTGTGCCTGGTGTTGATGAGGATATTTCACTGGTTGCAAGGGCTACTTTGTGAGGGTATCATGCTCTGGGGTTTGGAAGGCCAGAGGCAATAGACGCAAATGTGCCAAGTGTTGTCACCTCAACTGTTCCTTTTGGAAGCTTGTTCCAGTCCCTGATTGTCTTTGGCAGGAATGAGCAGTTCCTATACTGGCTTTTCGTTGGTATGTGCCGGAACTGCCTGTCATGGCCTCATGGCTGTCTATGGGGGAGAGGGATGAGTTTCTGTTTAGTGCTGGAGCAGAGGACCAGCCCATTAGTTATCTTGTACATCATAGAGAGCCTGGATAGTTGTCGTCGTTCCTCCAATGGTGACCAGCTCAGTGTTTCCAGCATGCTGCCAAGACTAGAGGTATTTTTGTCGTGGTTCAGGACAAAGCGTGCTGCCCGTCGCTGGACTGCCTCCAACCTGACTATGCTCTTCTGGGTATATGGGTCCCGGACTGAAGATGCATTATCTAAAAGCGGCCGGACAAGGCTTTATAAGCTCTTTATTTTACGCTGGAGTTGCCGATCGTTAGATTTCGCCTTAAGAACCCCAGGGTCTTTTTTACCTGGTTGCCCACATTGTTAATATGCTCTTTGCATGGTAACACCCAGGTACCTTAGGAAGGAAACTGACTCATGCAGTTCGTAATGGTAGTGTAGATGACTACAACTTCTAGAGACTGACATTCTTAATTTGGATACTAGCGCTGGGTTTGGGACCCACCGAAAGTGCGTGGAAATTAATTTATTAATGACGTATTTCCTTGTCCCTCTTACAATTATTTTAGCAAACAGGGACATGGAAGGGGACGTCAAATGGGTGCTTCGAACAGGGCGAAAGTTTACCTAAGGCTTAACTTTGGCGCCTCTTATAAGTATAATCATTAATGGAAAAAAATAGTTATTCAGTTTACCTATATTGTTGTTTTTGAACAGTTCATTGTTTGTTAAAAAAATGACATAGGTAATAAACTCATTACCAAATGACTAGTTTTTTCCTTTAATGATTATACTTATAAGGGGCGCCAAAGTTAAGCTTGCACAAGGAGCCAGCAACCGTTGGGCCGGCCCTGACTTAAATGTAGTTTCTTTATATTTATAAATTTTATTCTTGGTCAATTTTTGTGTGTGGACAGCAGGTTTGGTGAAAATCCCTTTAAAAAAGTTTGATATATTGATTTCAATTAAATTTATGGTATTTAATAGGTTTTTAAAAATTGTAATTGATTTTTTTCTTCTTTTTTGAAAGGATTTCTTTAGATTTTTAAGTATATTAATGTTTCTATAGATTAAACATGATATGGTTAAGTGTATTTAAATAATTTTTTTAGGATTTAAATTGCATTTTAAAATTTATACCATTTTAGAAAAATTTCAATCAGATTTTTTTACAAATTTTTTTTCATATTTTTTATAAGGATTTCATTCGAATTTTTAGTTAAGTTTTTATAAAAATTACACATAGTTTAATCAATATTATATTAATAAATTTGTCGGATTTAAATTTGATTTTAACATACAGGTTTAAATTTAAGTAAAATAATGTTAGAAAACAAAATCTTTATGAAATCCATTTAAAAGGATTTTCATACTTTTCCCCAAATTGAAATATCTCATTATTGTCTAATAGCTTTCGAAAAGCTTTAAACAAATTCTTAAAAAGTAATACAAATGATAGCCATAGTCGTAATATTATAGTCTATTTTATCTCTATATATATAAGGATTTCAATTGAGTTTCACACTTTAAAACTATCAATATTAATGTCATAATATTTTCATTTGTCATGTCATTCGATTCCACTAAATCCTTCTGATTGATTATTTTGAAGAGAAAAACTAATTTTCCAGATTTTGACCCTAAGTCAATTTATAATTTCTAAAAAATGAAAACTTCAATTAAATACAATTGTGCAGTCATAACTATATATTAAGAAATAATAAACCATGTGACTTACAATACATACAAATAAACTTAAGTTACTTTTCAACTAGTGCATTTTAATATTATTAGATCAGATAAATAAACAAAATTAAAATTCATTGAAATATTTAAAAAAAATTTAAATTAAATCATGACCTTTACTGGTCCTATTGATATCATGATTTAAATAAATTTAAATGAATGATTTAATAGGGTTTATTTGAATCATCTGAACCCTGGTGGGCAGTACACTCATAATTGTATTTTATGTCTCTTGGTACAGGAGGAGGAGAAAAGGCCAGGGAGCGGCATACCTCAAGGGGAAAAATGCTACCACGCGATAGAGTTAACACCTTATTAGATCCACAGTAGGTTGGCTTATTGAGTTTTGTTTATAGAATAAATACCTTGTTAGATCCACAGAGGTTGGCTTATAGGGTTTTATTTATATAATAAATACCTTTTTAGATCCACAGAGGTTGGCCTATTGGGTTTTATTTATATAATACATACCTTGTTAGATCCACAGAGGTTGGTTTATTGGTTTTATTTATTAAGGTTGGGCATGTTTAAGACATTTAACCTTTAAGAGGTTTAAAAAATACTTTGTGCTAAGTTTGTTTCTTCCAAACATTTAAATACTAACTCCAGATATTAAAAAATTTTCATTTTTGAAAGAACAAAATGTAAACACTTCGATGATCGAAGTCTTAAGATTAAAGTAATTACAGTGGAACCCTACTATAACGCGATGATCGGGGTCCATAAAATCGGATCGCGTTAAAAGCGGGTTTGCGTTAATGCGCGGTTTTACAATATTTAACTTTTTTCCGAGAACATATACGTGTATACATGCACAATGATCAAAAGTCGGCTTATCATCAGATGAATATTAACTGGAATGCATTAATTAAGATATATTCAAAATAATCGATGGCTAATATATTTATAGGTTATTACAGCGGAAATCCCTTCCGTATTACTATTTATAGTTCTACCGGAAGAAAGCCTCGTTTTCGGAATTAATTTTGATACTAGTTTGAACATGGTGCATTTAGTGGCTCATTTTCTACGATATTTTGAAAAGTTGTGATTATTTCGCTTTAAAAAATGGCTTTCCAAGCAATGGATAAAATTTTCAAAGAAGTTAGGCCTGATGGAGAAATGAATTTCAAATTTCGGGAGCCATGCTACGACCGCGTTATATCCGAATTCGCATTATGGCGGGTCGCGTTATAGTGGGGTTCCACTTGATTAAATTCCACCCACTCATGCATTAGCTTTGTAAAAAAATATATTATAATAGCTCTTATAATTAAAAAAAATTAGGATCCCCGACTCCAAATGTAAAATTTTAAAATGGTTCTACTAATGTATGTTATTTTGAAAAAAAAAAGCTCATTTAAGGTATTTTAATAGCGAATGATAATGTTTTATCTGTCCAATAACTAAAATTTATTAGAGAGATTGTATGGGCTACTGTAAAATAATCAATTTAAATTAAATGTAATCCTAGATTTTAATAAAAATGAAATTTAATACTCATGATGTTCAATTTTGCTAAATGATTGTGTGATGTGTGTTGTAAAATGTGCTATGATTATTGATGAGACTTTCATGTGTTTTATTTATTTATTTATTATTTATTTAGGCATTTTTATATAGCGCTTACCTTAAAGCTCTAAGCCCTTTACAATTATTAAAAACATGTAAACTAACTAAAATAAAAATGAGACATTAGGATAGTAACTACTATACTATAGAAACAATTAAAATGGCTATAAAACGAGGACACTTTGGCACGTTTTGGCATATATTACAGGATTAACTTGAGGCAGAAAATGAGGCAGGGCAAGGAGGGTGCATCACAGGTCATAGGCGGATCTAAACAGATGGGTTTTAAGGGACTTTTTAAAAGTGGACGAGGTTTCACAATGACGGATATGGAAGGGGAGCTGGTTCCAGAACGTGGGCCCATGGACGTAGAAGGAGCGTTCACCGATGGTCTTAGTTTTGGTTCTTGTGATTGAGAGGGTTCTATTGTCAATGGAAGAGCGTAGTTGTCTTGTGGGGATGTAAGGAAGCAACGGTTCAGAGAGATAGACCAGATAAGTGAGATTCAGTGAACGAGTTGAAGCATAGATTGGCAGACTTGTACTTGATTCATGTTTTGAATTAAAATGACTATTTTTTCTGAAAATGCTGTTATATTGAATTTCAGATCTCCATTTCTAGAATTCAGTCAACTAGCTGGTTATGAATTATATGGTGAAGACCATGTACCAGCTGGTGGTCTTATAACAGGAATTGGACGTGTTTCAGGGTATGTTTGAATGTGTTTTTTAGAAAGTTTGAATGTGTTTCAAGGGATGTTTGAATATGTTTAAAGAGATGTTTGAATCAGTTTAAATAAATGTTTGAATGTGTTTCAGGGTATGTTTGAATGTGTTTTTTTATGGCATGTTTGAATGTGTTAAGTGATGTTTAAATGTCTTTAAAGAGATGTTTGTATGTGTTTTAAGGGGTGTTTGAATGTGTATTAGGGTATTTTTGAATATGTAATAGGGTATTCTTGAATGGTCTGGCCTTAATGGGATTGAGACTTGGATTATTTATTGTACAGCCATTTTGTAAAATGGAAATGTTTATAATAGAATAGAATATAATAGAATTTGGATCACAAAGTTATATTATTTATATTTACAATATTCAGTCTTCAGAAGGGATAATACTTTTTATTTGAATGACAATATGTAATATAAGACTTGTCATGTTTTAAAAAGTCAGTGGTGCCATTTTCATAATTCAAAGATGCAGACTTTAAGAATTAGGGTCCCAACATTGTCATTGTTTTCAGACAAATTTATTTAATTTTGACTTTTGACATAGCTTTTGAGATCCAGTTGTATATTGGGAGGGGTTCATTACAGTTTCATTGGTAAAATAAATTTACAAAAATCGTTTTAAACCTGTGCGCTTCAAATTCAGTGATATTTGCCAAGTCTTAAAACAAGTTAGAATTCTAATCTCATAAAACTTGTTTCAAAATGCATTTATTTTAATAAAATTGTCCTCTAAATCTTACAGAGTAGAATGTATCATCACTGCTAATGATCCCACTGTTAAGGGAGGAACTTATTATCCCATAACAGTAAAGAAACACCTTAGGGCTCAAGAAATCGCAATGCAGAACCATTTGCCATGTATATACTTGGGTAAGTTCTATGAGCTTTTATTATATTTTAAATTTTGAAGTGTGATTCTTGTGTATTTTTTTTAGCTTAATGTTGAGCCGAGATTTTCAACCAAATGTTTATTATTTAATACATGGTGCAGATGTCAATTGGTTAATTCAAAATATTATTTTTACCTTATTTTGGATAAAGTTGTGTTGTATTATGATAAGTATTTTTTATTTGCTTTTCTTTTTTTCTTTTTTTTTGTGTATATATAAAAGAGGTTATTCCTAAACTGATGTTTAAAAACACATGAAATTTAAAGATTTCTTAAAATACAATATTTTTAACTATCTAGATGGGCTTCTTTCAAAATTATCAAATTATATTCTTTTAAACTTGTTGAAATTTTGATTGATGCTAATAATTTTTTCAGTTGATTCTGGGGGTGCAAATCTGCCCAGACAAGACAATGTCTTCCCAGACAGAGACCACTTTGGTCGTATATTTTACAATCAGGCTAATATGTCTGCTAAAGGAATTCCACAGGTCAGTGACTGTTGATTGCACATGGTCTTTTGGGTCATTTAACATCACCTGTTAGTTATCTAACACATCCCTTAAAAAGTTTGTGTATATTTCTCATGATAGATTTAGCTGCTATGAAGTCTATTCTTACAAGAACAATTTTCATGTCTTATAGTTAATGACTTAGGTAATATCATCTTTCTCTTAGTCTTAATTTATGATACATTATTAATCTTGGCATTTGATTAGAAAATACAAAGACTCTGAGAGGGCCTTAGCTTTTTTATGTTAAGTGTTACAGATTGTTAAAGGAGCTTTTAAAAGCTGATGGGTGATATTAACCTATAAAACATAAATGATAATTTTATTTGAGTTCCAGGATTGGGAAATGACTAAGTCCTAACATATTGATTAATCAACTGTAATAATTTTAGAGACTTGGTTAAGGTTATTTGTCCATCAGCTTGTAGCCATGGTAACAGAGGTTCTATAACTTAATCGTCCCATCTGTCTGGGTTTTTGTTGCAGACCTGGTTACTCTTATGATTTCGGCACACAATGTATGATTTTGAGATGTCTTTTAGTTCTGTCAGAACTACGAATTTAAGAGACTGGGTTGAAAAGATATATTCCAGTAGTTTTAACGATTCATTTAAAAAAATCATTTTCAGTTTTTTGTTTTAGCTCCTTTCTACATCCAATGCATTCCCAGTTGCTCCGCACAGCAGCATTAGATTTTGACATATTTGTATCAGATATAGTAAGTGGCTTTTGAAATTTGTTTTGAGAAGTCACTAAGCAGCTGTACAATTTTAAAACCCCAGCATGGTTCCAGCACTTGTCTTCCCTTCTCCTGATACAGTTATTGCGATTAGTTATTTTACTATAATATGTTTATGGGGAATTAAATCTCAAAAGACGAGAGATTGAAAAATCGGTCATAAAATATATATATAAATAATATTAAAAGGCCAAAATAATAATAATAATAATAATAATAATAAAGTTCATTTCAAAAACACGCTTCATCCCCAAAGGCTCGAAGCGCGGTTCAAAGTCAACAAAAAACATATCTATAATTCACCACATTTAAAACAAACGCAACACTACAAAAACTAATTATATCAATATCAAAGTCTTTCTAGCCATTTCAACCCGGACCAACACAGCAACACATGGTAAATAAGGTAGACAATCATCCCAGAAGGTATTTGCGAAATAGATGTGTCTTTAGATCGGTTTTAAAGGACTCCAGTGTCTGGTTGTTTCTAAGATCGACAGGAAGGGCGTTCCAAATTGTTGGACCAGCAAATGCGAAAGTGCGCTTTCCGTAAGTCTCAAGGCAAACACGTGGTGTCGAGAGTTTGCCACTATCGGATGAGCGGAGCTCTCTACTGGGTACATAAGGCGTCAGCAGCTCTTTCAGATAGGACGGCGCCAGGTCATGTAAGCAGCGGTAGCACAAAGTTGCGATTTTGTACTCTATGCGAGCACGCACCGGCAGCCAATGCAACTCTCTCAGAAGTGTTTTTGCATGGTCGAATTTGCGTTTGCGGAGAACTATGCGAGCCGCATTATTCTGTGCTATTTGAATTTTATCCAGGAGCGTAGCTGGAAGACCCACCATGAGAGCATTGCAATAGTCCATGCGTGATAGCACAAATGCAGACATCAGCCTCTTTGTTGTATCAATTGTTAGGAAGGGCCTGATTTGACTAATCCTGCGCAGCTCCAGAAAAATCGCCCTGCATAGCATGTTAATATGACTTTCAAAAGTTAGTCTTCTATCTAGGTAGACACCCAGGTACCGCACTGTTTGAGCTAACTCAATACGCACACCTGAGAGAGTAATGGATGTCGTGTTATTTGCAGATTTCTGCTTCTGAGCGGTCGCAATGGGGAGCAGCTCAGTCTTATCATCATTTAATTTGAGCTTGTTAATGGTCATCCAGTGCTTTACCGACTCCATTGTCTTCTGTGTCATACTGAGCAGCTGAGGGAACTGAGAAGTGATCACGGATTGATGAAGTTGTGTATCGTCCGCGAACATGTGATACAACATGTCAAACTGCCTGATCTCTGCACCCAGGGGCTGAATGTACATCGTGAAAAGCATCGGGCCTAGGACCGAGCCCTGGGGTACTCCGAATTCGAGATTAGATTTCTTCGAGGTCAAGCCGTTTGAAATAACTGACTGGACCCGATTAGTCAGATACGATCGGAACCAACACAGGACGGTATCAGTGAGACCGAACGTTTGTTGCAGACGCTGGAGCAGTATGCCGTGGTCGAGCGTATCGAAAGCTGCCGATAAATCGAGTAAAGACAAAATCGATACCCGGCCCTCATCACAAGACGACAGAAGGTTGTTTACGACGCGCAACAGGGCTGTCTCAGTAGAGTGATGCACCCTGTATGCTGATTGGAATGGTTCAAACAAGTCAAACTGAATGAGGTGATCCAGGAGTTGGCGGAGAACGACTTTTTCTAAGATTTTAGAAATAAATGATAGATTTACTAGTTTGGAATGTTAAATTTCTATTTGGCAATAAAAAAAAAAGTTTATTCTACTAGTTCTTGAAGAAATCTGGTAGTAACTTGTCCATTCATAAATTTTCCTTTTCGCCACTTACTCATATTTTGCCACAATTCCAGTTCACTGTAACTACACACTAAAACATTGCTATGACTATGGAGTCTGATTCTGATTATAAGCTTGAAATGGACAATTATTCTTACTTAGAGGAATGTTTTTGATGAAGATAGCACTTCAGATGTGTCTGATATCGAGAATTATGTAAATGATCATCATAATAATAGTATACAAGGTTTGTTTACTTTTTTCATTCATACTCAACTCACGCATACTGTGATACTTTCTTAGCACTATTATTAGCCCTAACATTAGTTTTATTCAAGTTCCAGTAGTATAAAATTCTTAAATAGATTAAATTATTTATTTGTTCTAATTGAAACTAATTTGTAGTTATAAAATTATTTTAATATTATTACGTTTCAGTTAGCCAAATGTAAACAATGCCATACAAGGCCAAGGCTATAACACTGTAACAATCAGCTTTGTTCCCTTTTTAAGGAAAAGTTGAAGTAAAAGTAATTTAGGCAGATTGTTGAATATTTAGAAATCTTTTTATTTATATTGTAATTTTTTTATTTTAGCTAAACTAATATTTTTTTTTGTTCTTATATTTTGACGGCATCTATGAAGGGCAGATGTCAAACATAGTCCATACAATGGGTTATGATGACAAAAGACTGTGGGACTCTTTGCTGCATTTAGACCAGAGGTACAAAGCGTTATTGCTGTCCTGATATTAAAACAAGAGAGGATGTAAGGAGATTTCAAAAGCAAATAGACATTTTCAATCTCTACTTTACTACAGATTTGGTTGGTTATTAGTAAGCAGTGTGCGCAGAACAATGGACCGCAGAAATTTTGTGTTTTCAAAAATTGGTACCATTATAACATCAATGAAGGGACTTTTATCTACTAAGTGGATTTATTATGAAATGGAGGACTTATCAAGCTCTTAATTTTACAATAAATGTCCAGGAAATCCTTTTATGATGGACAATGAGCAAGGCCATTAGTACTAAGGACATATTCAAGGCTCTATTGAGTTTCCTAAAAGTTTCTGATACTGAAAATAAAGGAAAATTGCTGTGCAAAATTGGGAGACGCTAATGTATCTCAATGCAAAATACAATGAACTGTATCAGCATCAAGAAAGTGTAGCAATTAATGAACAATTTAGGGAACAAATGACATCTTTGATGATGAACCCGTTACTGTAAAGCCCGAAATCTTTACATCATGCGCCATGACATGACAATAACAAAAAATGTAATTGTGTGTTACCAAAGCAGGGTAAAATCGTCAGAGCATATGTCACAGGCTTTCTTTTTGATACATTTGTATGTTTTAATAAATACAGAAATTGTTTTCAAGAATTTTATATGCATGGTCTTGGTGAAGGATTACATCATTTGATCGGTATCTCGGGATGCATAAAAAATGTTGATTTATTCAAATGTGCTTTTTTTTTCTTAACTTTTCTTCTAAAATAATCCTTACTAATAATGCTCTAAAGGATAATATGATGCAGTATATGTTTTCCTTTGAAAAAAGAATTATTATTATTTTTTGGAAATAATTTTGACTTTTTGAGAAATATTTCCTTGAATGATATGTTGTTTACAAATAGTCATAAGTTTTTTATTTATGAGTCTATTCTTTTGAAATTTGAATATGTTTTATAGTATTGAAGAGATTCTAATCAAATATCAATTTTATTGATTTAATTGGAACACCTTTTTTTTTTCATTCTTTGTAAAAATGTGATGTTATGTTTTTGTCCACTTAAAAAAATATTTCTTTTGCCCAAAAATAATAAAACATCAAATTTAGCAAGGATATTTTGAACAAACACCAAATATCAATTAAAGAGCATCCAATTACCTTTAAAATGATATATAAAACTTGTAGGTAGCTACAAAATTACAGCCATGAGACTCAGTGAAGAATAAGATATGTTCAAGGTCATTAAAAACTTGAAAAATCTACAGTCGTTTGAGAGTTAATCAAATCAGGCTCCTAGGCTTAATTCTGGGATGGCCAACCAGCAGCCCCCATTGTTAAATATTGTGGCCAGCATGATATATGACACAAATGTGCACATTTCTTCATCCAATTAAAGATTATTTTCATTCACATTTGAAAAATATGTATATCACCTGATGATTTGATGCCATTTTGTTGTACCCACCCAAGCCTACTACCATGTAGTTCACACAGCTGTAATATACCCAAGCCCACTACCATGAAGGTCTCACAGCCACTACGAACCCAAGCCCACTTCCATGTAGGTCACACAGCCACTATATTACCCAAGCCCACTACCATGTATGTCACACAGCAACTATATATCCAAGCCCACTTCCATGTAGGTCACACAGCCACTATATACCCAAGCCCACTTCCATGTAGATCACACAGCCACTATATACCCAAGCCCACTACCATGTAGGTCACACAGCCACTATATACCCAAGCCCACTACCATGAAGGTCACACAGCCACTATATACCAAAGCCCACTACCATGAAGGTCACACAGCCACTATATACCCAAGCCCACTACCATGAAGGTCACACAGCCACTATATACCCAAGCCCACTACCATGAATATCACACAGGCACTATATACCCAAGCCCACTACCATAAAGGTCACACAGCCACTATATACCCAAGCCCACTACCATGAAGGTCACACAGCCACTATAAACCCAAGCCCACACCATAAAGGTCACACAGCCACTATATACCCAAGCCCACACCATAAAGGTCACACAGCCACTATATACCCAAGCCCACTACCATGAAGGTCACACAGCCACTATATACCCAAGCCCACTACCATGAATATCACACAGCCACTATATACCCAAGCCCACACCATAAAGGTCACACAGCCACTATATACCCAAGCCCACACCATAAAGGTCACACAGCCACTATATACCCAAGCCCACTACCATGAAGGTCACACAGCCACTATATACCCAAGCCCACTGCCATGAATATCACACAGCCACTATATACCCAAGCCCACACCATAAAGGTCACACAGCCACTATATACCCAAGCCCACTACCATGAAGGTCACACAGCCACTATATACCCAAGCGCACTACCATGAAGGTCACATATACCCAAGCCCACTACCATGAATATCACACAGCCAGGTTGCTAAACTGTATGGTAGTAGAAATAGTGAAGTCAGTTTAAAATGTTAAAACTGCCTTTCAATTTATTTTTTTTTTGGTTTTACTTTCACCTTGTAGGTTGCTGTGGTGTTGGGCAGCTGTACAGCTGGTGGTGCCTATACGCCAGCCATGGCTGATGAGAGCATCATAGTGAGGAAACAAGGGACCATTTTCCTAGCAGGTCCTCCTCTGGTAAAATAAGTGCTTGACTGATGGCAGATAGTTTAGTGCACTTCTGTCCTTTCTTAATCATGTCCATTTCTAAAATAATTGTCAATTAATGGGAATTGAGCACTTTATAAGTAGAGTTTTTAAAAAAAAATGATATACTTTTAGTTGTATTCATTAAAATGTTGGCCATGTCTATGTAGAAAAAAATGCAAAGTTATACATGACAAGAATTAACTATCATTTATGGTGAGGAAAAAATGTTGATGGGTTAATACTGCACTTTGTTATTCAGGCTATTGCATTTACCTTTTAACCTCTGTATTATTCAATTGACATGAAATCTATTGCTGCAGACAGCTAACCAGATCAGGCCATTTTGGATTTGCTTAAAAAAAAATCATTTTGAATAATTTAGGATGGTTATATTCTTTCTAACAACATGTCTCTCGATAAGCACATATCTCACATTTGTCGTTCAGCATACACCACTATCCGTCAGATCAGCTCCATACGCCACTACCTCACAGTTAGCACTACAAAAACTCTAGGCTGTGCTCTTGTTCTCTCTCGTCTTGACTATTGCAACTCTCTTCTGTCAGGTTCACCAAAACACTGCATAGAAAAACTGCAGAAAGTTCAAAACTCAGCTGCTAGGCTAGTTTTAAAGGCAAAAAAAGTGATCAAGTCACTCCGCTACTCCATTCCCTTCATTGGCTACCTATACAGGCACGCATTGACTACAAGTTGTCTGTTCTCTGTCACAACTTTTTCTTGGATTCCTGCCCTTACTATCTAACCGAACTTCTATCTGTCTATTCACCCCTTCGACAGCATTGCTCCTCTGCAGACACGCGTAGTCTGTCCGTTCCCAAGACACACACTAAAACATATGGTGAACGATCTTTCTCTTTCTGCGCCCCCAAACAATGGAATTCTTTGCCACTAAACATACGCAATATACCAACCACCCAGGCCTTCAAAACTGCACTAAAAACATATCTTTTTAAATTATACTACCCTGACTGATTCCCCTCCTCTGACCGATAAACGATCTTGCTGGCTGCTGTCCATGGTTTGTATTGTACAAGTTATGTGGTGGGGTGGGTGAATATACATTGCTGTTCTTTCTTTCATAAAAATATTTTATTTTAATGTCATGATCATGTCTCTTTCGATAAAATTTTTATGTGTAGCGCGGTGAGCCCAGCCCTAGGCTGGGGTACCGCGCTATATAAGACGTCTTATTATTATTATTATTAAGCTTTCAAAATAGTTTTACATAATAAAGAAGTAAGCGTTTCGGCACATGCCTTCATCAGTATAACAACAAAACATTTAAATAAGTATAAATTAAATCTACATAATATATATATATATATATATATATATATATATATATTATATATATATATATATTATCTAAAAAAGATAAAAAAAGGAGTGGGCGCAAAAAAGAGACAAAAACAAAAAAAAGAAGAAAAAAAAGAATGTTATTTGAAGTAGAATATAAAAAATGTTAATACAATTAGAAATAATGATGCCAATAAATAATGCGAAATAAACACATATAAGTAGGAGCACACAAATACACAAAGAATAAAACACGCCTCGTAATGTTAAGAGAATCTATAAGAAAATCTCCGTCCTCGTCCGTGCCTGTCAATCCCTTATATAGGTGGGTCTACCGACGCCCAAGCCCTGCCTTCGAGAAATTTCTAGAAAAATCAAAATCATTCTACAAAATACTATTTGGAACAGATTAATTATTTTTATTCGTTGGCGGCGTAAACAAGAAATACATCAAAGACCTAAGCCACACCCCTTTGTGAACACAGCGTCTCATGCGGGGTCAATCAGAGGGCACGCACGAGAAATATTATGTAAACAAGCTCTCTATAACACTCTTTTGATAAAATTTTTATGTACAGCGTGGTGAGCCCAGCACTAGGCTGGGGTACCGCGCTATATAAGAGTCTTATTATTATTATTCTTATTCTGTCTCCCCTGGTCATGTGGCTAGCCATGCTATGTCAGCTATGACTAAAAGTAACACTCAAAGCCCATATGGTTACTTGTGCTAACACTTGACCTATGCCTCACATCTTCAGGTGAAAGCGGCCACTGGTGAAGAAGTTTCAGCTGAAGATTTGGGTGGTGCTGACTTGCATTGTGGGCAAGTATACATATTTATATTCTTTATAAACTATTTATTTTTCAGGGACAATAGTAGCATCTTCCAATTTCTTTTAACTTCATGGAATACAAGTCTTTTATTGAAATAGTTTTTAGACTTTTTCTAATTTATTTCACCTCTAGTATTCAAATTAGTTTGGCCGAACACTTTTAATGTAGTTACAGTAATAGGAAAACATCTTACTCAAATTTCAATGCATTTTGAGAAATGATTAATCTAAAAAAAATCTCAATAAAGCTATTTCTAAATTATTGATGTGCTGACCCATTTAGTCTAGTTAAGTTAATCTATTTCATACCATTATATGGCTAGTTTTTTTAAATGAATGTCTTAGAAAACTTTTATATTGCTTAACTCATGAGGTCATGAGAAGTTCCTAGGATCCAAAACTTTTCCTTTTTGTGTACATTCTAAGTTTCATGGCGTTTAGGGGTTAACTTTAATTTATGTATGAATATATTTTATTCTTCAGAGAATCTGGCGTGACAGACCATTATGCCCAAGATGAAGTTCATGCATTGCATTTGGCCAGGAGAGTTATAAAGAATATCAACTATACAAAAAACCCAGGGGTAGGTGTTAATAAATTTAAAAAAAATAAGCAAATTTTTATAGGTATCTGATTATAGTTTTTTTTCGGGGTGAGGGGGAGGAATTTTGTTGATTTGAAATATTTCATTTTAGAATGTTCATTTACTCAAGCTTTTTTGACAATCCCAGGTCACAATCACAAAACCAGAAGAGCCTTTGTTTCCAGTCCATGAACTGTATGGTATTGTGGGAGATAATTTTAAAAAAACATTTGATGTCAGAGAGGTATGTTCTTAGTCTTAGTCTTCAGCTGGTCCAGTTAAACCTGGCTTTTTTATTGAAATAAAATCATATCTATTGAGGGTCATAATCTTTCGGTCGTTGATCATTTCATATACCTGGGATCCAATATTTCTAGTTCTCTCTTCGTTGATGAAGAGATAAATATCAGGATTGCAAAAGAAGCAGCAACTATGGCTAAACTGAATAAGCGGGTGTGGAATAATCTCAATCTAATTGATAAAACAAAAATAAGTGTCTATCAGGCATACGTGCTTAGCACCCTCCTATATGGTAGCGAAGTGTGGACCACATATACCAGTCAGGAGCGGAAACTTAACAGCTTCCATCAAAGATGTCTGTATCGCATTTTAGGTATTCGTTGGCAGGACAGGGTGCCTAACATAGAGGTTTTGGAACATGCACACATGTTTAGCAGATTCTCCTTTCTTATCAAGAGGCGCCTTCGCTGGTTAGGTCATGTACAGAGAATGGAGGAAGGACGCATCCCAAAGATACTGCTGTATGGAGAGTTGGCAGAAGGGACAAGACATATTGGACGACGGCGCCTGAGATTTATTGACGTTTGCAAACAAAGCATGAGGGAAGCCAATGTTGAAACAAACGAATGGGGGTTCATTGCCGAACATCGCTCCAACTGGCGAACAGCAGTGTTTGAAGGAGTAAAAAAGGCAGAAGATACTCGAAACGAGGCCCTTGAATCAAAAAGAACAATTCGGAAATCAAGATCTTACCAGGATTCAATACTCTCCTGCGAGAGATGTGGCCGTGATTGCCATTCTAGGATTGGCCTAGTTAGCCGCTTGTCAAAGCGTAGAACTATATAGCTACTCCATCGTCTCACGAAGACGGAAGGAGGCCATATATGGATATTTCCTAACAGTGACAGTTGCATGGACTAACCACCCAACTGTTGTTATTTTAAAAAATCTTTTACATTAACTACCTTGGATTTAACATACACACTTTATGATTGTAATGAGTTAATTTGTTCAGATCAGCTGTTGCTTTAATTGAACTCTACTGTCTGTCACATTGTTAAATGGCATCATCAAAGAACTTCAAGTGCATTTTATCCAATTTATGACCAGGTCATAGCAAGAATTGTTGATGGGAGTGTATTTGATGAGTTCAAGACAAAGTATGGGGAAACATTGGTCACAGGTAGTCTGTATTTGTTTATCAAATGTTCATTGTTAAGTTATAGAAGCCAGAATGATCGACACATTGATAGTGGGCCCTTGAAATATAGGACATATATAAGACATGACATTTTCTAAATTATATGAAGCCTTATGCCATCATATTTATTAACAAATAATAAAAAATTCCTGAGTTTCCTGATTAATTTTGAATAGACGTCTTCAGATTAACTTCATCATCTTTAGTGGCTATCCATTTATCCCTAGGTTTTGCCAGATTATGGGGATATCCTGTGGGAATCATCGGCAACAATGGCGTCCTCTTTTCTGAATCTGCTCTTAAGGTGAAACATTTGTATTTTCAGCCTTATTATAAATTAACCATAGATCAGTGACATGATTAATGTATCTGTAACATCCTGACATTTGGTTGGTGTTGATCATAGAGTAATACTAAACCAAGAAATCAGAATTCACATGGCCGATTAATACAGATGATGAACTGTAGAAAAGACAGGACTGTTTGGTCAGCCATTTTGGCAAGCATGTAAAATTAGGCAGGGATCTTAGAATATTCAAAGAGAGAGGTTGTATGAATCAATTGTTTTTTTATTCAGTGGATTATTACTGTTTATTTCACTTTCACATTTATTCTGTGTTGATTGGAGCTGTCATTATTACAACTATTCAAATATTATATTTCAAGTAATAAAGTGATGTAAGTCTATTCTTCATCTTGACATTTTGATTTGAACAAGTGGTGCTGCAGGCAACACTAATTTGTAACCAATGTGAGAGAGAAAAGTTCCATGTATGGCAGAGCTTCCATTGGTTACAGGATCTTTGTCAGTGATTGTGACAGAGATGGCACTTGTGTATTGAGTAGTGTTTGCTTGGAGTCATTTGATGGCACTTGTGTATTGAGTAGTGTTTGCTTGGAGTCATTTGATGGCACTTGTGTATTGAGTAGTGTTTGCTTGGAGTCATTTGATGGCACTTGTGTATTGAGTAGTGTTTGCTTGGAGTCATTTGATGGCACTTGTGTATTGAGTAGTGTTTGCTTGGAGTCATTTGATGGCACTTGTGTATTGAGTAGTGTTTGCTTGGAGTCATTTGATGGCACTTGTGTATTGAGTAGTGTTTGCTTGGAGTCATTTGATGGCACTTGTGTATTGAGTAGTGTTTGCTTGGAGTCATTTGATGGCACTTGTGTATTGAGTAGTGTTTGCTTGGAGTCATTTGATGGCACTTGTGTATTGTGTAGTGTTTGCTTGGAGTCATTTGATGGCACTTGTGTATTGTGTAGTGTTTGCTTGGAGTCATTTGATGGCACTTGTGTATTGTGTAGTGTTTGCTTGGAGTCATTTGATGGCACTTGTGTATTGTGTAGTGTTTGCTTGGAGTCATCAATTCTGAAATTATACATCAATCACAGTTAATCAAGTAGTGTTCAATAAACTCCTATCTAGCTACAAACCTGTTAACGTTGGTTGTATTATTAACTGTTGATATTAGCTATACTGTTCGTGGGATCAAGTGAGAGACTTGGCCAGACAAGTAGACACTCATTGCCATGAGTGGATAATTACAACACAACAGGTTCAACGGTTCGACACCAACCAAGAGCCAAAATTAAGAAAGTGGAGATAAATCTAGCCAATTTTTTCTTCTTTGTTTTATTTGTTAAATGTAATTTTCCTCAGAGCTGCATCCATGAAATTAAGAGCGGTTTCTGTACAATAATCATGAGCTATTTTCTCTAGTTATTATTAGTAAATTATTTCTTTCATTCTCAAAATTGGCAGGGCACCCACTTCATTGAGTTGTGTTGTCAAAGAAATATTCCCATAATTTTCCTTCAAAACATTACAGGTAAGGATGTATAAAATTGGTTTACTAAGCAATATATCCTCAAGTAATGCTAAAAAAGAGTTGAAATACAATGTAACCCAGAGTCAAGTATCAAATTGTACAATTAAGATATAATTTTATTACTTTTTTTTTTATTGATGTAAAGTTGAATTTGTTTAGGTTTATGAATGTTTAGATCCAATAAGTTTGTGCAAGTGAATAAATGAGAGTCTATGCTGATGTTTTCTAATATAGTGAAACTTAGCTGGCTGATATTTTAGTCCAAGGAAAATTAGCTTTAACTTAAAAAGTTTGTTTCTTCACTGCAGGTTTCATGGTGGGGCGCGAGGCAGAAGCTGGGGGTATCGCCAAACATGGAGCCAAGATGGTGACAGCTGTCTCCTGTGCAAAGGTTCCCAAGATAACCGTCATAATTGGAGGTTCATACGGCGCAGGGAACTATGGCATGTGTGGTCGCTCATACTCGTAAGTTGTAAGAGCAACAGATCATTTATATTTGTACATGGCTGAAAACGTGGTTACTCCAATTCATTGAATGGGTGCTGGATACATGGTTACTCCAATTCATTGAATGGGTGCTGAATACATGGTTACTTAAAAACTTGAAGTGTTGGTAGAAAAAATGTAGTGACAGAAGTGCTCTTCATCTATCTTATTTCTATTTCTTGAAGGCTTTTTGCCAAAGCTTTCTCTTTTAATTGTCCTGCTCTTTCATTTCAAGCATCAACATACCTAGTCACACTATTTCTTGATAGTAATTTCTTATCTTACCCCTCGAACTGTGGTCGGCCGACAAAATCGGCTGATATTCTCGTTCTGTGCTGTGGCGGCCGAAAAAATCGACTGATTAAAAACACGGTCCGATAGCAACTTCCAATCCAATATTAACCGGAATTATAGCCACTTCCTTTTATTAATAATTAAATCATCTTCTGGGTCAAGCTGTTTCTTGATAACTTAAAAATAAGTACTTTTTAACTGGACTTTTATATTACTTTTTTATTTTAAAGCTAACATGGTTGAAGCTATGTCTGGGCCTTCAGGGCAAGAACTAATAGAAATATGTTTGAAAGCTTTTTAGGAGAGGTTTTAAGTGATACTGATGATGATTTTAACATTCCCCATGACGATATTAGTTGAGATTATTCTTCTCTTGAATCTTATACTGGTCTTAGTGATACTGAAGTAGGCCTACTGAGGTCTTAAACTCCGAGTCAGGTCCGGAGTTTGGGAAAGAACTGACTGATTTTAGTAACAGAAGCCACAGATTATAGATCAGAACGGATACATTTTATTGTTAAACAACCCAAATCAGTTCCTTTTTAATGTTTACTAGTCAATAATAACTATTTTGCCTGAGATTTTGGATTTTGTACTTGGTTTTAGCTGTGGTCCCAGTTTCTTATATAAATAACCTTAAATTACTAAAATTGCTTTAAGAGGTTAATTGTAATCAAAACCTCAGCGAACTATACATTTTCTTAAAGATAAATGAATTGGCTACAATATTTTGATTTGTGTTGTAAGTTTATCTTTAAAAATTAATATTACCAGCACTTGATAGCAAGTCATTTTGTCGATTTTTTTTTTTCTTGAGCACTCCAAGGTCAAGGACACCAAGAGCAAAATTTTTTTACTGGGTGGGCCATATGGCCAATTTAATCCCCATCCATTTACCTTTCCAAAAATATGTACTTATTGGGGTCTTGTATCAATATTTATATTTCATTAAATGCAATTTCAAAAGGCACTCAAAAAGCTCTGAAAAGCTCCACACTACAGAATGATGCATGCCACAGTTTGAGAGTTAATTTGTTTAACACATTCAGAAATCAACAGCATCGACAATATAAATGAAACTCTTATGTTAAAATGTATAAAAACGCAAAACATCTTTTAATCCACCAACTTCTACACTTAAAAGAAGTCTTATAATTTAAGGGTCATGATGACCCTGGACTTTGGATTGCAAAAAGAAAAAAAGTTACCTTTTGAATCCTTACATTCCAAGCACTACTTATATGTAAATGACTTTACAGATTCCCGTTATTAGCTCGGAAAAGTTTTTGACTTGATACAAATCTGGGTTGCACCAAGTTTCACCATGTAAAAGATGACTGAATCTGTTTTATATTTCAATGATAGTCCATTTATTGTAAGATCCCTTAAAGGATTTTCATCTAATTTTAACAAAAAATCTGTTTCAGTCCCAACTTCCTGTACATGTGGCCCAATGCCAGGATCTCTGTGATGGGAGGCGAGCAGGCAGCCAATGTCATGGCTCAGATCAGCCGGGAACAAAGGCAACGAGAGGGGAAGCCTGTGAGTTGGGTTCTGTTGTGCATTTCGTAAGCTCACCAAAGGAATCACTCTCAGAGTTTAAATGGTCACACCTGATACCCATGTTTGTGTGGGGAGGATTAAAATGTGTAACAATATGTCTCATTTAATGGGACTTTAGAAAAATGATCACATAATTGTCTCTGTGTTTTTGACTGTTATAATTTGTTACCGCTTTACATTTTTGATATTTTGAAAGAAAAGTCATCTTGGGGCAAAGAGAAAGATGTTTTACTATTTTAACACAAATATTTCAAATGTTGAAAAAAAAAGAAAATAAATAGTGGCCAAAGAAAAGTTTAGGCTTGACCAAAAAAGGCAGGACAGTTTCAGGCAGGACAGTTTCAGGCAGGACAGTTTCAGGCAGGACAGTTTCAGGCAGGACAGTTTCAGGCTGGACAGTTTCAGGCAGGACAGTTTCAGGCTGGACAGTTTCAGGCAGGACAGTTTCAGGCAGGACAGTTTCAGGCAGGACAGTTTCAGGCAGGAAAGTTTCAGGCAGGACAGTTTCAGGCAGGACAGTTTCAGGCAGGACAGTTTCAGGCAGGACAGTTTCAGGCAGGACAGTTTCAGGCAGGACAGTTTCAGGCAGGACAGTTTCAGGCAGGACAGTTTCGGGCTGGACAGTTTCAGGCTGGACAGTTTCAGGCTGGACAGTTTCAGGCAGGACAGTTTCAGGCAGGACAGTTTCAGGCAGGACAGTTTCAGGCAGGACAGTTTCAGGCAGGACAGTTTCAGGCAGGACAGTTTCAGGCAGGACAGTTTCAGGCAGGAAAGTTTCAGGCTGGACAGTTTCAGGCTGGACAGTTTCAGGCAGGACAGTTTCAGGCAGGACAGTTTCAGGGTGGGTGCCTTCTTCAGCAGACAATACAAAGACAAACAACAGATCACTTCAGCAGACAATACAAAGACAAACAACAGATCACTTCAGCAGACAATACAAAGACAAACAACAGATCTCTTCAGCAGACAATACAAAGACAAACAACAGCAGACAATACAAAGACAAACAACAGATAACTTCAGCAGACAATACAAAGACAAACAACAGATAACTTCAGCAGACAATACAAAGACAAACAACAGATAACTTCAGCAGACATTGCAAACAACAGATAAATTTAAGTAAAAAATAAAAATAGTGTTTTTGAAGATCTCACCAATGTCAGTGTAGGTCAGAGTTCAGAATATGATTTAATTTATCTGTTATTTATTATTGTATTGTCTGCTGAAGAAGGCATCCTGCCAAAATGTCTGCTTAAATTTCCTGTCTTTTTTTCAAGCTTAAAATGTTTTTTTCAACTATTTATTTACTTCACCCAGCTTGAACGCAGTCCCCGCTTATATTAAAATAGAAGTAAATTTGTGAATGCTGATGCATCAGAATCTTTTTAGTTATCTTATGTAGTGTGTGGCAAGGCTAAGTATCTAATCATTTAGTACATTGAAGTTTTGTTGGAATTTTTACAATTCTGCCTGTTGTATGTACAGATTTGTTGTTCTTTATAACATATATATATATTTATATCATAAACATTAAATGTGTTTTTAATTTTGTGGTGACTCGGAAAAACAACAAGTTGTTATATCCACTGGATTATCATCACCAACTAATTAGGTTTTAATATCCACTGGATTACCATCACCAACTAATTAAGTTGTAATATCCACTGCATTGTCACCAACTAATTAAGTTGTAATATCCACTGATGATCATCAACAATTATTGTTTTCCAGTGGACTGAAGAAATGGAAGCTAAATTAAAGGCCCCAATTTTGGCAAAATATGAACTTGAAGGAAGTCCTTACTATGCAAGTGCCAGGTATGTTGCAGAACACGAAAAGAATGTGGAACAATTAGCTCACCAGTGGCAATGAATACATATTACATCCTATAAATTAAAGGATAAAAAATTTGGAAATGTTGAATTATTCCTCTTCTTGTAAGAGTGTTGGGACTGTGGTTAAGCTATAAAAGGAGATTAATTATAAAAACAATTTGTGTGAATAAAACAACATATGTCCAGCTTCAGCTTGAATGATGATTATACAAAATACAAATGTAGATGTTTAGGCAAATGCCTTCATCCATCAGTACAAAAAACCAAACATTTGTAAAAGTATAAATTAAATTTACATCAGGGTGGATGGGACTCGTTCACCTTGGATGGCAACTCATCTAAGAGAAGGGAACTCTGAAATCAAACCCGGAGATGGATTCCCAAAAGGCGGATAACATTGATACAATGAAACATTCCGACAACTCCTGCGACGTCACTGGTGCCAAGCTGTATCATCCAATGATGTTCCCTTGGGTTATCCAGCGGCGTGGAGAGAGGCGATTCGCTGTTGGGAACCAGCTTATAATCCTTGAAGAATAATCCCAGCCCATGTGGATTTCGTCCTAAGAAGCCCACTCCATCATCACATTGTGACGGACGGATGCCAGCAAAAAAAAAAAAATAATATATACACATGTATCCTACCTAAAAAAAAAAGAAATGAATAAGAGGAGAGACAGATTGTTGCCTTGGAGATCGTTTTAGAGAACACCTCTATAACATAAATAAACAAGCCATTTGCCCAGTTTCCAAACATTTCAATAGTACTAACCATAATGGAATTTTAGACATTGCAGTTGCTGATATATTATATACAAGTAGAACCCAGGAAATAATTTTTATGGAAAAAAATTAGTAACAAGATTTGGCACGTTGACTCCATACGGTATAAAGCAAAATCCACAATTTTACGTATCTGCCAGGTCTTTTCCCTGTTTGATTTTTAAATTTTACTTTCACTCACACCCTTTCCATTCTTCTGAACTTTGTTTTTGTGTGGGTTTTGTGCCCACTCTTATTCTATTCTCTCTTTTTTAGGTAGGATACATTCATATATATATTATGTAAATTTAATTTATACTTTGGTTTGGTTTTGGTTTTTTGTACTGCTGAAGGCATTTGCCAATGTGTCTATGTTGGCATTTTATATAATCATCATTCAAGCTCAACACATGATGTTTTATTCAAACAAATTGTTTGTGTCTACTTTCCTTGTGAGGATGGTTTGCTTAGATCATTTTTACAGCTGGATTTTGGAATTGGTTAACTCTTTATGGTCCAACTCTAGAGAAATCAGGAGAGGGCAGGAGCTTACCTTTTTTTTTTTTATTATTTATTTTTTATTTAGTTAAATAAAAATTAGTAATATAGTAAAATGGTTTTAATTTATAATAATTAAGGTTTTAAATATAGAGAAATCAGGAGAGGGCAGGAGCTTACCTTTTTTTTTTTTTATTATTTATTTTTTATTTAGTTAAATAAAAATTAGTAATATAGTAAAATGGTTTTAATTTATAATAATTAAGGTTTTAAATATAATTATCATTGTTTTTTTTTTTAAATTAATTTTATATAAACGCGACTGAGATGAGTGTACGTCGTCTATTTTATTTTCTTGCCGAGAACCGATTCGAGCTAGCTGCTTCGAAAAAAATTATTTAAATTACAAAAACGACTTAGAAAACAATGAAATTAACTTAGATGAATCCTTAAGTGACTCTTCTGACATTTGGGGATACAGAGGAATATGAAAGAACATCAGATGAAGACGTTGATGTTTCTTTTCCTACACAAGTACAGTTTCAAACAATGTAAGTCTAGCTATCCACTCGATTACACAACTAAAATTAACATTTCTAAATAATCTTAGACAGCAAAATATATTTTGCAATTTAATAATAGTATCGTAGTAATCCTAGTTATAGCCTTACAATTTAGTAATGATAATTTTATTTTCCAATCCTATTTTGGCTTTAAAAATTAAAAATACAATTTTTTGTTTACATAATCAGCTGATCAAACAGCTGATTTTAGAATTCATTGTTGTAGTTTTGTTTTTTTGTGTTTTGCCTAACTCTAACGAGTAAATAATGGAAGATACTAACCCTCTTAGGACGAAGCCTTTTTGGGGTGTATGTGCCAAAAAGTCATAGCATTTTTACGAGCTCGGCACTCGCATTGCAAAAAAATTTTTATAAAAAATAAACAATATCCTTAATATACGTATAACTATATATATTCTTGTAGGAAATTGAATGAGCTATTACAATCTTTATGAATCAAACTCAAATATCAACATTTATGCAAATGAGCTACCCTGATTTGCATAATTTATGCTTGTAATTTTTTGTTAAACCTAGAATAAACATGACTGACTTGTATCAATTGTGTGAATTTTTTGATGGATGAAGCCTGCATAAGTCCTTACACTTATGTTTTTGGGAAACAAGGCCTATGGAGGCCCTTCAGATACATCTGGCACAAGGCTCTACTCCTTCCCCCCCCCCCCCCCCCCCTTTCTAGTTTTCAGTTGTTACAGACACACTGTAACTGAATGTTACTGAGAAAGTTGTCTGCATATCTATTGGTCTCTCTCTTGAATATTTGAGTGATATTTAGTGTAAAAAATAGCATAAAGTTCTCCAATGGGGGGCTTTTGCCTTATTTATAGGACCTATATTGTCTAAAAATTCATCCCTGCCCAGTTGAGGACCCCTAATACTAGTAATACTAAACCAAAAGTTCACAAGATTAGCATTACCCTCAAAGTATTCATTAATTTCCTGGTTGTTTTCATCAGTTTCAGTGTCAGAGTCACTGCTAGAATATCAAAATCACTAAGCACAGTTTGATCAGATTCACTGCTAGAATATCAAAATTACTAAGCACAGTTTGATCAGAGTAACTGTCAGACATGTTCGAATTTCACGATATAACTATACACACACACAAAAAAATTCCTGCACACAAATAAATCTAGTTCACCATCAACCAACGCCGCCATTACAATGCCGGAATGTGCAGGAATACGTAAGAATAAATTTGATTTGCTTGTACAACGCCAAGCCAGCCAATCTCGAGGCTCGATTCATCGGGCCGATGGTTTGGACTTTAGTCTTTCTCTCTAGTCCACCTTGGGCCGACGGCCCTTACGCCCCAAGAGGGCTAATTTTATCTTTTTAAAATATTTTATTTGGTAGTTTATTGCATATAGCCTTATATTTAAAAAAAAATTTTCTCTAATCATTGCAGATAATACATTGCCAATTGACTTGGAAAAAACATATGAAGATATTGACCAGGGACCCCTCAAGCCATACCTAAATTTATCCCTAAAAGAAAGCCTGGTCTCAGGCCTCTGGTCTCTAAGGATTCTGAAAAGCAGACAAATAGTAATGAGATGCAAAAACTAAAAACTGCAGGTAAGGACTATTTGATATTATAGTTGCAGTACTAATGAGAGATAGGCATAGGCCTAAGATTTACATTTTATGCTTGATCATTATTTAAAAAAAAAAATCACTTTTCTTATAATGTAATAAGATATTTTTGCATTATATAATAATTTATATTATTACAGCTGTTATAATATTGTTATATCTGTGTTATATCAATAAATCCTGCTTTCATGTCATGGTAACCTGAAATTTACAAATAAACTAAAAACTGTCCACATGAAATTTCTTTACCCTTTTTCTGTCAGGATATCATGTTGAAAATCTGTGACTACCGGTACACCAATACTACACCAATGGTACACCAATGCTTATGCCAAGCACATGAGAGAAAAAAAAGAAGTACCTCTACACTAATTGGATGATAATAACACCTACAGGACACTTTATTTATTTTTCTTTTGAGCCTAATTCCATGATGTTTCTGTCTCAAAAATAAATTGTATCAGTGGGCATCAGACTGTGATAGTCATTAAATGTTTGAAATGTGATCAACATTTCTATCTAATAGAAATAATGGTTGATTGTTAGAACATTGCCTAAGCCTAGAAGACTCTTACACTGTTTTTTTAATTTGTTTAGGCCTGATTTATTCATGTAAGCCCTAGCTTTTTTATCATTATTTTTCTATTTTTTTTATTATCTATTAAAATTGATAAAACATAATTAATACAATTGTTTGTTATAATACATATTTTTAATGCATTTGTATTAAATATAAACTTTTAAATTTAAAAAAAATAGGTTTTAAACTTTGCATAATTTTGCATAATAAGGTCTTATGTCAAAATTTAACCCAAAAAAACACGCATGTTTCACAGAATAATTTGTAAAATTCTTTTTTTGGGCTTTTGTATATTTGATTGCGGAATTAAAAAAACAATAAATTTTTAACTATTTCTTCTATTTGTTTTTTTTCCCTTCTTACAGTATGTTGTTTGTGTAAAAAAATGTTGTTAAATGTGAAATCTTTTTCTCACTTCTATCATGATTGAAAGAAAACACCCAATCATTTTCAAGTACAATTTATAAAATATGAATCTCCATTCTTCATTTCTAAACAATTGAATATATAACATGATGGGCATTAATTAGCTGCTCTTTTTATGGTATTCCATTATGTGAGATGACATTAAAAAACAAATTGGTTTAAAAAGAACAATAAACCCATCAACTGCAAAGAGTTAATTGAGCGTTTCGGTTTTCATCTTAATATTAAAGTAAAGAAAATCAATTGATCTTAAAGTTATTTAAGAAATTCTTTTGACCTGGTACTAACACTTTACCACGAACTAACCAATATGGGGATTATATTAAGGGGGATTTGTTTGTCTTCATTCAAATGTCTGTTTAGAGACATCTCCAGGGGTTGATAAGGTTCAGCCCTAAGGAGCTCCTGTAAGAGAAATCTAAAGCCAAATAATCACTAAGTGCTTTTCTCGATCCGCAGGCTGTGGGACGATGGAGTCATTGACCCTGTGGATACCAGAAGCGTCCTAGGACTGTCCCTAAGTGCCGCACTCAACAAACCAGCAGAGAAGACCAGGTTCGGTGTTTTCAGAATGTAAGCAAACAGGGCTGTGACTGTGACAGACCCCAGGGTGTTCAGTAAACCGAAATGACAAAGGTTCGGAGATGGCTCGCAATAAAATGGCTCTAATGCTTCATCACACTCTGCTAAAAATATCTTTTCTGAGTGTCCCCACACTGACTGGACCCAGCGGCTGGCTGTGATTAATAACCTCAAGTAAAATGTGTTATTGCTATGTTGAAGAATTATTTTGTAGATTTATCATTAATGTATTGATATGTAATGAAAGTGCATGATTCAATGATTTTATTTCTTTTAAAATATGCAGCGTAGTGAGCACAAAGTCAACATGCATTGTAGAGGAAACAAAAGTTCTGAGATATTTTGTTTAATCCGTAGGATGATACAGTTCCTATTAAGCCATTCCAAGACCTGGTTTATAAACCTTACAAAATGTTCGTTTTAACAAAAGATTACACTTTAAGCATGTCTCAGGTTCCATTGACATTGAAATGAGATGATATGGCCGTGCTGCCGTCTGGTCAACATTTATATGGTAAGCTAAGTTATCAATACCATGTATCAAAGTTTTTGGATTTAACAGACTAGTGTCATAATATCCTGGTAAATATATGACTATGACCACTGTAATTGTATAGACCACTGTAATCATTGTACAGACCACTGTAATCATTGTGTATATATCAAGTTTGTACTGAATTTATCACCTAAAGGACTTTTGCATCCTTGGCCAGATGTCCATTTGTAATACATTATATTCAAATCATTCTACAGTCGAGGCATAAAGTCTTGCATGACTGAGTTTGAGAAAACTGCTGCCAGGAGCTTTCTAGTTTTGTTTTTTGGCAGAGAGTATTATGTTTCTGTCATAGGGTGGTAGATATGCCACAACATACAGGACACTAATCTGTAATGGTGATGTTTCTGTCATAGGGTGGTAGATGTGCCACAACATACAGGACACTAATCTGTAATGGTGAAGTTTCTGTCATAGGGTGGTAGATATGCCACAACATACAGGACACTAATCTGTAATGGTGGTGTTTCTGTCATAGGGTGGTAGATATGCCACAACATACAGGACACTAATCTGTAATGGTGATGTTTCTGTCATAGGGTGGTAGATGTGCCACAACATACAGGACACTAATCTGTAATGGTGAAGTTTCTGTCATAGGGTGGTAGATATGCCACAACATACAGGACACTAATCTGTAATGGTGGTGTTTCTGTCATAGGGTGGTAGATATGCCACAACATACAGGACACTAATCTGTAATGGTGATGTTTCTGTCATAGGGTGGTAGATGTGCCACAACATACAGGACACTAATCTGTAATGGTGATGTTTCTGTCATAAGGTGGTAGATGTGCCACAACATACAGGACACTAATCTGTAATGGTGATGTTTCTGTCATAGGGTGGTAGATATGCCACAACATACAGGACACTAATCTGTAATGGTGATGTTTCTGTCATAGGGTGGTAGATGTGCCACAACATACAGGACACTAATCTGTAATGGTGATGTTTCTGTCATAGGGTGGTAGATGTGCCACAACATACAGGACTCTAATCTGTAATGGTGATGTTTCTGTCATAGGTTGGTAGATGTGCCACAACATACAGGACACTAATCTGTAATGGTGATGTTGCTGTCATAGGGGGGTAGATATGCCACACAGGCTGTGTCCGCATGCACCACTGGCTCTGGAAACAAGCACCACTGGCTGTGTTAACATGCATGACTGGCTTGTAACCATGCATGACTGGCTTTGTAACCACGCAGCACTGGCTATGTAAGCAAGCTCCACTGGCTGTGTCAGCAAGGGTTATTAAAAATGTTGGTCTCTTTAGATGTCACAGTGAAGCATATAAACTGTAAAACTGTGGCTGACATGTGGACAGAACTCATCAAGAATTGATATTAGTGTCCTTGAAATACAAAACAATCAAAGTCACTCAAGATATAAAACTGTTAAGAACACCTGCACTCTTCATTTAGGAAGTTTACTTTTACAATTTTTTTTTTTTACTGTACACAATTAATATTTGTTTCTCAAGTATTATTGGAAGCTCAGAGTACATTATTTCCTGTCAAGTAAATTTGTGTCCAGCTGCATCTAAAATGTTCATGTCACATAAGTTTTCATTGCATCAAAAATATACTCTACGTCCTGTCACTTAACCTATAGTAAAGCATGTGTTTTATGTTGGGACCAGGATGGTAGATACCAGAGTCTCTTTTTTAATAGAGAGCCAAAGTGATGGTTTAAATGACTGAGAAGTTGTGCAATATAATGAAGTATTTCAGTGACCATTTGTACCGGTATTGTTGTTTGTTCAAATATACTGTTTTTATTATACTTTAGATTCAATGCTAATGAGAGTAAATGTTGTTGCCTTGAATTATGTATTATGAGTGAATATAAAATGCTATTTCTGCCATATTTGTATGTTCTTACATCTGTGTTGAACATATCACATGCATTTATTACACTCAGAGTTACTTGATGGAGAGTTTAGCATACTCTCTAACCATCTGTTGTTTAAGACATGTCATTGGTTGTTGCATATAAACTATAAATGGAGACTTTTTATTTCATAATTTGTCATGTTTTATTTTGGTGTGTTAACATGGCCACAATGTAAATAAGTTCTGACCCTAGTGGACATTAGATGCTGCCACCTGATATGGTGGGCCATTCAATGACATATGTCATTAGATGGCATGGTATATCATCAGCTGACATGTGGTGTTACGAAATGATTGTGGTGTTTCATTAGATATCATTAGCTGATGTGCTATATCATTGGCAGACATGTTATGTCATCACTTGACACTGCAAGTGTTGAACTGACATCAGACAGGGCACGGCAAGTGTCGAGCTGACATCAGACAGGACACGGCAAGTGTTGAGCTGACATCAGACAGGACACGGCAAGTGTTGAGCTGACATCAGACAGGACACGGCAAGTGTTGAGCTGACATCAGACAGGACATGGCAAGTGTTGAGCTGACATCAGACAGGACACGGCAAGTGTTGAGCTGACATCAGACAGGACACGGCTAGTGTTGAGCTGACATCAGACAGGACACGACAAGTGTTGAGGTGACATCAGACAGGACACGGCAAGTGTCAAGCTGACATCAGACAGGACACGGCAAGTGTTGAGCTGACATCAGACAGGACACGGCAAGTGTCGAGCTGACATCAGACAGGACACGGCAAGTGTTGAGCTGACATCAGACAGGACACGGCAAGTGTTGAGCTGACATCAGACAGGACACGGCAAGTGTTGAGCTGACATCAGACAGGACACGGCAAGTGTTGAGCTGACATCAGACAGGACACGACAAGTGTTGAGCTGACATCAGACAGGACACGAAGGCACTTACCACTAATAGGGTTGTGTGGACACTTCTAATGGAAGCTCCTTGTGTTTGCGGTTATATTGTTACATAAAACAGAATAACAAACCTATCGGGACTGGCATGCTGCAGGAACATGATGATAAATATAGTTAGTTGATGCATTGGACTCAAACAAATGATCAATACAGTAGGCTCTGTTTGTTTAAGACCGTGGACATTTCAGTTACCCGGTACCTGGTATTAAGTTAGGCAAGTGCAAGTAAATCAATAGTTTTCTTCTGTATGTGTGATCCAACTGTGATGCTATGAGGAGTGTTCTGTATACAAGTCAGCAGAACCTCATGCGACTCAACAATACAATGTTTTTTAAGGGATTAAGAGTTAATTTAAAGGACTTGTACTACACACTTAACATTGATATGATGAAGACAAAGAATAATTTCTATTAGCACATGATGAAAACAGATGAGAATAAACGGATCCATTGATAAGGATTGTTGTTTGAGAGATGATAAAAGTGATCCATTGAGAAGGGTTGTTGTCTGAGAGATGATAAAAGTAATCCATTGAGAAGGGTTGTTGTCTGAGAGATGATAAAAGTAATCCATTGAGAAGGGTTGTTGTCTGAGAGATGATAAAAATGATCCATTGAGAAGGGTTGTTGTCCAAGAGATGATAAAAGTGATCCATTAAGTAGGGTTGTTGTCCGAGAGATGATACAAGTGATCCATTGAGAAGGTTGTTGTCCAAGAGATGATAAAAGTGATCCATTAAGTAGGGTTGTTGTCCGAGAGATGATAAAAGTAATCCATTGAGAAGGGTTGTTTGAGAGATGATAGAAGTGATCCATTGAGAAGGGTTGTTGTCCGAGAGATGATAAAAGGGGATCCATTGAGAAGGGTTGTTGTCTGAGAGATGATGAAAGTGATCCATTGATAAGTGTTGTTTTCTGAGAGATGATGAAAGTGATCCATTTAGTAGGGTTGTTGTCTGAGAGATGATGAAAAGGGATCCATTGAGAAGGGTTGTTGTCTGAGACATGATAAAAGGGATCCATTGAGAAGGGTTGTTGTCTGAGAGATGATAAAAGGGATCCATTGCGAAGGGTTGTTATCTGAGAGATGATAAAAGTGATCCATTAAGTAGGGTTGTTGTCCGAGAGATGATAAAAGTAATCCATTGAGAAGGGTTGTTGTCTGAGAGATGATAAAAGTGATCCATTGAGAAGGGTTGTTGTCCGAGAGATGATAAAAGGGATCCATTGAGAAGGGTTGTTGTCTGAGAGATGATGAAAGTGATCCATTGATAAGTGTTGTTTTCTGAGAGATGATGAAAGTGATCCATTTAGTAGGGTTGTTGTCTGAGAGATGATGAAAGGGATCCATTGAGAAGGATTGTTGTCTGAGAGATGATAAAAGTGATCCATTGAGAAGGGTTGTTGTCAGAGAGATGATAAAAGTGATCCATTTAGTAGGGTTGTTGTCTGAGAGGTGATAACAGTGATTCATTTAGTAGGGTTGTTGTCTGAGAGATGATGAAAGTGATCCATTTAGTAGGGTTGTTGTCTGAGAGATGATGAAACTGATCCATAGAGAAGGGTTGTTATCTGAGAGATGATGAAAGTGATCCATTTAGTAGGGTTTTTGTCCGAGAGATGATGAAAGTGATCCATTTAGTAGGGTTGTTGTCTGAGAGATGATGAAAGTGATCCATAGAGAAGGGTTGTTGTCCGAGAGATGATGAAAGTGATCCATTTAGTAGGGTTGTTGTCTGAGAGATGATGAAACTGATCCATAGAGAAGGATTGTTATCTGAGAGATGATGCAAATGGAAGATCAAAGTCTCTGAGACGAAAAGGTTGTGACAGACAGCTATACAATGTAAATAAAACAGGTCTTCACTCTGTCTCAGTTTTTAAGGAAGATATTTTAATGGAAATCCTACTGAATAGAAGCAAGTTAAGTAAACAAATACATTACAAAAAAAACAGCAAATAATTGAAACAACATCAAATGCTTGACCATAATATAAACAGAATTCTTCCATAAAAATTTAATAAGCATACATAAATAGACTTGGTGTAAGAGATAAATACATTTTTGTTATGGATGTACATAAACATATTAAAAGAGAAATTGTCTTTTTTAGTTGACCGCTGCATTCTCTTATAGGCCTAGTATGAGCCCTTCTTGAAACATTCTACACATGCTTTCCAATACTGGTAGCTATTTAAATGTTTTTGGGACCTTTTTAGAATGATTTCATTGATGTAATTGGCTTGAGTCATTTCCATTTTATTTAAAACCCGCAAATGATATTCGACTTCATGATGTGTAGTAAACACTGACAATTTTGACGTCATGATGTAAAGTAGAACACTCTGTAAAACAATGACAATTGTGCAATGACCAAAGAGAGATGAAGTAAGTTGCTTTAATAGTATTGCTATAACTATAACACTAATAAGCCATTGTAAAACACATTTTCTATAAAATAATGAACGTGCATCAAGAAAAAATGCATGTCCGTTTTTGAATAACACCTTTCAAACGTATCAACGAATGCATCATTATAAAATATGTATAAGGGTCATAATTAATTTGATTTACACCTGGGTGTTACCGACATTTGTCTCCCAGACGTGTCGAGACAGGATGTGACACATTAAAGTGTGACGTAACAGTGACGTTCTATTGGACAATGTGTGTACGCCTGGCTTTCACCGCCTTTGCTTCCCTGGCCAGTTGACAGAGCGAGCATTGTGGGAAACAGTAGGTTATCATACAGTCGTTAAAGAAAAAAAAAAAACAACAAAAAACCAAAAGTTTTTAAACCCCCCCCCCCCCTGCCACAAAACCCACACCCCCCCCCCCCCCCCCCCAAACTCAAAGTGCGTCACACTTTCTTTAAAAAAAGCAACTTAATCTGAGCAATGGCTTCCATTTAGATGTATTCATTGGTGGGTTATCTTTCTTCTGTGCTTATTTTGCCTTGGTTTCACTTACTAGAGTACAGTACGTGTGAATGCATGTATAGATGTCACTCTGATAAGTGCTGCTAATATTCAGCCTTTACTACTATTACTAGTAAAAAAAACACATTTGAGATCTAGTAAAGCTCAACCACAGCGACATAACACGTCTATTAATCTAGCTACTACCTAACTACTCCGCAATAGCTGGCACATCTCACTGCAATGTACTTTAAGACCAGTGGTGGCCAACCTTTTCAGCAGACGGGCCAAATTACAGAGATAGTATTTCCTGCCGGACAAGGCACATAATTTTTTTAAAAAAATAATTAAAGTTAAAGTAAACATGGGAGCGTTTTACAGCTTCGACCAGATCGTCGCTTCTCATTTGATGAGGTGAGTGACCGTGATATCGTGGTCAAACGCTTGCCTGGTATAATGTCAATGTAAACAAAAACAACTAGAAATAGGTAAACATGTATTTCTTTCTTTAAATAAATAAAACATTACTGAGAATGAAATATATTAATTAGACAATTTATTATTTTTTTTTAAAATGAGACAGCCGACTTTTTTTTTGCAGAACTAAATGCATCAACATTGATCTCGATTGATCTTGTCGCTACACGCAAACAGTTTTCCAAATGAACATGAGTAATTCGTGTTCTCACTTGTGATTAGATGTGTTACATACGATTGAAAAAACTGTTCACACGCATAAGTGTTTCCAACTAGTGAAGCCATCGCCAGACAATGTTTGTCAAAAGCAGGAGATTTATCCTTGACCAAATACGTTTATGGAACTCTTTCAAACCAACGTGATGGAATTTCTCCTTTTACTGTATATCACATAACATTTCATATGTTCCATTTGTTATCTTCCTGGAAATAAATTCACGTCTACCGCGAATGGTGTTCCAAATGCACAAACAAGCACATGTGTTTGTTTTTTTAATACTGAAATTGGTTTTCAAATTCGAGGTTTAAGTCAGATATCATAGAGGCGTTTTGATCTGCCGCCTTCTGTGTGACGTCTGGTTGCAATGACAATGTAGGAAAGTGAGTAAACGTTTTTTGTCCTCAACTGTTGTTCCCAGAGACCAAGTTTCATTTGAAAATCAGATACGTCTTATTAATTAATTGACCTTCGCCTTGTAGACGAGTACTAACATCATTTAGGTGGCTAGTTATATCGACCAGAAATGAGGAGTCCAATGAGAAGTATGACCGACTTTGGAGGCCTCACTTTCAATCAAGTTGACCAAACCTTCGTATTGCCCAAGCATTGCTGGAGCACCATCCGGTCTTAAGCCCGATAGGTTGCTAAGTTGAAACGAAAAGCGATTTAATGTCGATGTAATTGCCTCTAACGAATCTCATGGCTTAGTAGTGTCGTTAAGTGGATACAATGCCGCGAATTCTTCTGTCTTTTTATAATGGACACCAACACCCCTGATAGAAATTGCCATTTGGGCAGTATTTATTGCCATATCTGTGCTTTCATCCAATGCTAGAGTTGGGCAGTATTTGCCATATCTGTGCTTTCATCCAATGCTAGAGTTGGGCAGTATTTGCCATATCTGTGCTTTCATCCAATGCTAGAGTTGGGCAATATTTGCCATATCTGTGCTTTCATCCAATGCTAGAGTTGGGCAGTATCTGCCATATCTGTGCTTTCATCCAATGCTAGAGTTGGGCAGTATCTGCCATATCTGTGCTAGAGCATAAAATTATAAACTCGGATGTTCGACTTTTCAAATTATCTTCAATATGTTTTCCTATGTCGACCACACCTCTAGTAATAGTGTGACGAGACAGACTCATTTCTGGGAAATCGTTCTTCTTTTCTTGACACAGAATTTCAACAACACTCTCCAAGCCTTCATTAACCATTTCAACATCTGAATATGGCTCGATTTTTTGGGCTACTATCATGGCTACTGCATGCAAAATATTTCAAATGTCTCTCAGCTATAATTTAAATATATTTGACACGTACGACTGATGATGTAATGTTCTTTTGGTGATATGTACAATAAAGTAACATTTGTGTTCATTTATGGTCGCGTGTTGGCCACCCCTGTGGTGATCTGTACAATAAAGTAACATTTGTGTTCATTTATGTTCGCGTGTTGGCCACCCCTGTGGTGATCTGTACAATAAAGTAACATTTGTGTTCATTTATGGCCACGTGTTGGCCACACCTGTGGTGGACAATAAAGTAACATTTATGCTCATTTATGGCCGCGTGTTGGCCACCCCTGTGTGATCTGCACAATAAAGTAACATTTATGCTCATTTATGGCCGCGTATTGGCCACCCCTGTGGTGATCTGTACAATAAAGTAACATTTGTGTTCATTTATGGCCACGTGTTGGCCACACCTGTGGTGGACAATAAAGTAACATTTATGCTCATTTATGGCCGCGTGTTGGCCACCCCTGTGTGATCTGCACAATAAAGTAACATTTATGCTCATTTATGGCCGCGTATTGGCCACCCCTGTGGTGATCTGTACAATAAAGTAACATTTGTGTTCATTTATGGCCACGTGTTGGCCACACCTGTGGTGGACAATAAAGTAACATTTATGCTCATTTATGGCCGCGTGTTGGCCACCCCTGTGGTGATCTGCACAGTAAAGTAACATTTATGCTCATTTATGGCCGCGTGTTGGCCACCCTTGTTCTAGACCAACCAGACATCAATTGTATTTAGACGGCAGACATTAAAGGAGCCTTTTCCGGTCGTAAACCATTTTGTTCAGCCCTGCACGTGACCACCTACCGTAATATTCTCCTGTGCTCTCAACTTGACCCTCAGGATGAGATCAGATGATGGCACACAGCACTGCAGACAAAGACATTCGTCCATGTCGTGAGCCACTTTCATGGACAAGCAAAGAGAGCAGCACATGCCAGCAAGACCTGGAACAGTTCAGCAAACTAATGTTTGTCTCTTTTTTATTAACAGAATATTTATTTATTTTACAGTGAAAACACCTTAAAAGGTGTGAAAACACCTTAAAAGGTGTCAAAGGACAAAATGCGCATTTCCAGATTGATTCTTCGGCAGTGCAAACAATAATCAGAGTCATTTAGTACCAGGCATTATTGGTAGTTCGAGGACACGCATACTTGCATTTTGTTTCTATGATTCACCATTGTCTGCAGTAAGCTTGTCCCTTTGGTCTGCAGTAAGCTTGTCCCTTTGGTCTGCAGTAAGCTTGTCCCTTTGGTCTGCAGTAAGCTTGTCCCTTTGGTCTGCAGTAAGCTTGCCCCTTTGGTCTGCAGTAAGATTGTCCCTTTGGTCTGCAGTAAGCTTGTCCTTTTGACTGCAGTACGATTGTCCTTTTGACTGCAGTACGATTGTCCCTTTGGTCTGTAGTACGATTGTCCTTTTGGTCTGCAGTACGATTGTCCTTTTGGTCAACAGTAAGATTGTCCCTTTGGTCTGCAGTAAGATTGTTCCTTTGGTCTGCAGTAAGCTTGTCCCTTTGGTCTACAGTAAGTATGTCCCTTTGGTCTGCAGTAAGATTGCCACTTTGGTCTGCAGTAATTATGTCCCTTTGATCTTCAGTAAGTATGTCCATGTAGTCTGCAGTAAGATTGTCCCTTTGGTCTGCAGTAAGCTTGTCCCTTTGGACTGCAGAACGATTGTCCCTTTGGTCTGCAATAAGATTGTCTCTTTGGTCTGAAGTAAGTATGTCCATTTGAGGTATTTAAAAATAAATGGCTATGTTGTTTGAAAAGAAACACAACCCTTCACGACATACAACACTCACGACACACAACAACACTTCATGACACACACAACATGTCATGACACTACACCATGACACACAACAACCCTTCACGACAAAAAACAACATTGCATGCCACAACAACACGACAAACAACACTTTGCGACACAACATCACGTCAGGACACACAACACTTCCGACACACAACACATGTCACGACACAACACGAAACACAACAATACGTCATGCCACACAACAACCCTTCACGACACACAACAACATGACACACAACAGCTCACAACACACAGAAATATTGTGTCTACAAGCAATCTTATTACTGGCATCAGATATATTGTGTCTACAAGCAATCTTATTTTAAAGCGGACATATTAACTCATAAGGCGAGGTCTTGAAGTCATAAAACTTCAAATGAAGCAAAAGAAGAAAAAAATATAGAACGCAATACTATGGCTAGGGTTTATGACTCATGGGGCGGTACTTGATTTCACCGCTCCCAGTATACAAAATACACTAGGCATAGATTATATATATATATAAAAATCTGAAGTAAATTTAGAACTGGTGCACCAAATTAAGTGTCGCTAGGGTGTAGAGCACAACCCCTTTTTTCCCACGCTAGAGTTGTACATTGCATAATTCTTTATTTTAATTCTATCTACAATTGTTAAACAGAACCTTCTTGCATAATTACACTACTCTATAACATTGCACAATCCCACTACACTATAACCTTGCATAATTTCACTACATTATAACCTTGTATAATTTTACAACTCTATAATCTTGTATGATTTCACCATACTATACAGCCTTGTATAATTTCACTACACTATAACACCGCTGAGGGCTGATATGCCTTGTGTGTCTACTCACATATCGGGACGTCCTCCAAGCAACCAAACAGCGACGTTGACCAGTCACGTTTAGGTATCACAATGGGTCCCGGTTGTTGGACTACAACGATCGTGTTGCTGGTGTTGCTGGTGTTGGCGGTGCTGAAACCGGTGTTGTTGACGCCGGTGTTGGCGTTGTAGTCGGGAGGATTATAAGGCTGCGTTTGGATCACTCCCTGTGGACAGTGGACAGTGGATGTTCGGTGTTAGGGGATAGTGATTCATCTGGTGATGTATGTGGTAGTGTATTTATTGATGAATGAGGTGATTTAGTTGGTAATGGTTGAGGTGATTTATCAGCACCCACACGCTCTAAAAAGGACAGGCCAAATGGGCAAGAAATTTTGCTAGAATGCCAGACGGCAGACTGCAAAAAACAACTAATATGCTGCGACCTTTCAAAGGGGAAACGGCAAGGTTTAAAGATTGTCTAGAAGTGTCCTTCACATTCATGGACATTGATCTTATTTCATAGAAATCACGTGCTATGGATCGTACAAGATGGAGAGGAAGACTCACTGTTGGAGCACAGGAAGACTCACTGTTGGAGCACAGGAAGACTCACTGTTGGAGCACAGGAAGACTCACTTTTGGAGTACAGGAAGACTCACTGTTGGAGCACAGGAAGACTCACTGTTGGAGCACAGGAAGACTCACTGTTGGAGCACAGGAAGACTCAATGTTGGAGCACAGGAAGAGTCACTCGTGGAGCACACGAAGACTATAACAGATGGAAGACTCACTGTTGAAGCACAGGAAGACTCACTGTTGGAGCACAGGAAGACTCACTGTTGGAGCACAGGAAGACTCACTGTTGGAGTACAGGAAGACTCACTGTTGGAGCACAGGAAGACTCACTGTTGGAGCACAGGAAGACTCACTGTTGGAGCACAGGAAGACTCAATGTTGGAGCACAGGAAGATTCACTGTTGGAGCACAGGAAGACTATAACAGTTGGAGCACAGGAAGACTCACTGTTGGAGCACAGGAAGACTCACTGTTGGAGCACAGGAAGAGTATAACAGTTGGAGCGAAATCCCCAGAGAGTAAACACACCACTCATGCCTAAGAAGCCGCACATCAAAGAAAATCAAAATCGCCCTCAATCAGACAGCAAAAACAACGTGTGTCATAAGCCTTCCAAGCCACCTGCTTACTCACCGTCGACTATAGCCTTGGTCATCTTCACATGCTCTACTCACCGTCGACTACAGCCTTGGTCATCTTCACAAGCTGTAGCTTAGCATCAGTGAGTACGTTGGATACAACTTGGACACATGCCCCCCCTCCCCACCTCATACATTGACCGTGTTCGCATCAGCTTTTGTTTAATTATTATTTCTGCCCCCTCTGATGTTGGCGCCCTTCACATTTGCGTGGCCATTAGCGGCAGGTAAGAAATGTCTTGTTTGACAAGTAGGCAGGGAGCATCATGCACAGTATGCCTTCTGGGTCCACATTACACACAGCGGAGCGTACTTAAACAGCGGCGACCCCAGTAGGAAATGACAAAGTAAGATATTGTGTTACACATAGGTACTGTTGTCAATTTAAACGTTTAAAAAATGTGATCTATTTTGAAGTAAATTCACAGATGAAATTTTTAAAACTTCAATATATAATATATAGACGTTGGCTCTTTCGTCCAAGATAGTAGTGGTAAAAATAACGTAAAATTTGCCATTGTATATACAAGAATCACTGAGAATATCTAAGAACCCTTGCTTGTGTAGACAGAAACCCCCCCTCCTCCCTCCCTCCCCCACCCACTTCTTTTTAAACTTGAACAGGGCACTAGAACACATTAGTTATTTGAACTGGAAGGACTGCTTTCTTTGGATGAAAAGATCAATAACCTAAGCACAAACTACTTGTACCGACGCAGTATACTTAATACAGTAAAGTCTAAGCCCAGATCCACATAATTCAATAGGAGGTCATAAGCGTGGGATATTTCGATGTTTAAGTTTAAGTCATATAACGTCTAGGGACTAGGGTCATGCTTCTTTAGAGACTGACAGAAAGTGATTTTCTGATTTCGACCGAAACCAAACTATTTGAATATTGCAAAACTCATTTTCCAACAAGTTCTGTGCACCGCGAAAAAGGACTGAACAAATTTGGTGGCAACTTTTATTTGTCCTAAGTGTCTCTCATACAATTTACCCAAGGAAATGAATTCACCCCCCCCCCCTACCCAAATCTTTATTTGTTGTTGTTGCAGTGTCACCTTGACCATCGGTCAGCTCTAAACGTCTTAACTACTTTTCTTTTTAGCCAACTGAACTTATTGGGACCAAAACATCCCTGTTGACCATCCCAATTGAATCGGCCTTAACTTTGAAATAGTCAATTGACCATTTCTCTTGAATGTTAGCCCTGTTAGCTTGTCATCACAAACATACACCTACCCACCCACCTACCCACACACACTATCCGAAGAGTATTGTTTAAAGCTTGACAGCTAGGGTGTAGGGCAGTCTGTTGGCCTATTCTTTAAAGGCTGGCATGTATTACAGAAAATGACAAGTTAACTCCTATTTATTTATTTTTTTTGTAATTGTTTTTGTAACACTTGGACCCACTGGGTATTTTCTCACACACCTGGATCCGGTCAAAAAACAACAACATAAAAAACTAAAACTGCCCCCGGTTCAGCCCAAGTTTAACACATTTCCCACTTTTAAGGACAATTTTCGTAACGTATATTCGAAACCAAAGTCATATTTACAGCCCATAGTGTTTATTTACAGCCGATGGTGTTTAGTAAAAAATAAACAAAAAAGTTCCTATGCGGAGTAATAGATATGATGAGGTCAAAGACCTATCAACACATGACCTAAGCACATTATGACGTTTATAATACAGATAAGATGAGGTCAAAGACCTATCAACACATGACTTAAGCACAATATGACGTTTATAATACAGATAAGATGAGGTCAAAGACCTATCAACACATGACCTAAGCACAGTATGACGTTTATAATACAGATAAGATGACGTCACCCAATTTTCGACGGTTTTGTCTACCCTGCCATAGTCATACATTTGTCACAATTTGACATCCCCATAAAAGATTTTCTCAAAATCATGACCCTACCTCTTTTTAAAGAAAGAAGATGTGACTTCTTTTGTGGATCCCTCCCCCAAATAAAGATTCCTAACTAACATTGACAGGGCCCAGGATGCTGAGGTAAGCACTACTCTGTGGTCACCCGAGTTGTCTCCCTTGTTGGCCCATTGAATGCCGGCGGGGGAGGTGGGGGTGCGAGGGTTAAACAAGGGCCAGTTGGTTGATTAACGTTGGATGGCGAGATACTTACACAATGTGGCTAGATACTTATGGAATGTGGACCTGAAAGCCGGCTACTTACTTATGGCATGTGGTCCTGAAAGCCGGCTACTTACTTATGCAATGTGGACATGAAAGCCGGCTACTTACTTATGGCATGTGGTCCTGAAAGCCGGCTACTTACTTATGGAATGTGGACCTGAAAGCCGGCTACTTACTTATGGAATGTGGACCTGAAAAACGGCTACTTATTTATGGAATGTGGACCTGAAAGCCGGCTACTTATTTATGGAATGTGGACCTGAAAGCCACATTAAGAAATTTTAAAACGTGTTCTTATTTTTGGGCAAGGACTTGAGATTTGTAACATACGTGTTCTTATGATTTATTTCTCACGGGTTGTTACTGTATGAGATTTGCAGCACAGGGTTCTTATGATTTATTTCTCACGGGTTCTTACTGTATGAGATTTGAAGCACAGGGTTCTTACTGTATGAGATTTGCAGCACAGGGTTCTTACTGTATGAGATTTGCAACACAGGGTTCTTACTGTATGAGATTTGCAGCACAGGGTTCTTACTGTATGAGATTTGCAGCACAGGGTTCTTACTATATGAGATTTGCAGCACAGGGTTCTTACTGTATGAGATTTGCAGCACAGGGTTCTAACTGTATGAGATTTGCAGCACAGGGTTCTCTGTATGAGATTTGCAGCACAGGGTTCTAACTGTATGAGATTTGCAGCACAGGGTTCTAACTGTATGAGATTTGCAGCACAGGGTTCTGCTATTTGTAAAGTTGTTATACGTCTACACTTTCATTGTTAATTAAAAAAATTTTTTTTTGATACATTCAAAATGCATTAGAAAGAACAGGGCTGCTAAGAAGGTGTGTTCTCTTTGCTCATTAAGTCTAAACTCTGAAGGGTGTGGATTTCATCTTAGTCTTAATCCATGGATCACGTTGTTTTAATATTTTACCCAATTTCATCATTATTGCTTTGAATTTAGCAAATATAACATGTTGCTATATGTGTCGCTATATTTGTCGCTATAAATGTCGTCTATATTCATTGATAGTTCCCACTTTAACAAGATATATTTGTCCCGATCATCAGCCAGTGAAGTAGTTTTTGTTCAAAGTCCAAACTCTCCTCTACAAGACATCTTTTGCCTGCTGTTTGCACGTGTATAATCCGTGTGGCTTTTGAAGATTATTTATCGGACATTTACTGTCACAATATCTGATAGGATCAATGAATAATGTATATTAAAAGTCAAAACTTCAAAGTCAGGTGTTTATTTTGTTTTCTTACCCCATCATTTGACTGGTAACCGTAAGACATCGTGAGAAAATGTTTCCTCCAACTCTGAAATAAAAAAAAATAAAATAATTTTAAACAATTTAAAAAATAAAATAAAAAATAACAATAAAATAACATAAAAGCAACAAGAATACAATAGTTGTGAGTGTACAAGGATTTGATTTTCATTCTTTGACATCTTCTGTCATGCAGGCCACATTTGAAACGTGCTCACATCATGCATGGTGTTTTGATTGGCTATGTTGTCCCACCAGGCGGTCCACACTGATGTAGACGTTTCGTTTATCGATGATAATAAGATAATTTATAAAAGAAGTGGCGTCACTAGGGAGGGGCGAGCAAAGCATGTGTCTTGGATTACATTTTAAAGGAGGAGGGGGCAAAATGGTTCAAGTTATTTTTACTTTTAAAATAGATATCAGAGGATTTAGAAACGGATGAACAATACACACACACATACGTTACGTGTAGTTAGTTCATATCTCACATAGCACTCATATACGTTACGTGTAGTTAGTTCATATCTCACATAGCACTCATATACGTCACGTGTAAATAGTTCATATCTCACATAGCACTCATATACGTCACGTGTAAATAGTTCATATCTCACATAGCACTCATATACGTCACGTGTAGTTAGTTCATATCTCACATAGCACTCATATACGTCATGTGTAGTTAGTTCATATCTCACAAAGCACACATATGCTTCACGTGTAGTTAGTTCTTATCTCACATAGCACTCATATACGTCACGTGTAGTTAGTTCATATCTCACATAGCACACATATGCTTCACGTGTAGTTAGTTCTTATCTCACATAGCACTCATATACGTCACGTGTAGTTAGTTCATTTCTCACATAGCACTCATATACTTCACGTGTAGTTAGTTCATATCTCACAAAGCACACATATGCTTCACGTGTAGTTAGTTCATATCTCACATAGCACACATATACGTCACGTGTAGTTAGTTCATATCTCACATAGCACTCATATACGTCACGTGTAGTTAGTTCATATCTCACATAGCACACATATAGTTCACGTGTAGTTAGTTCATATCTCACACAGCACACATATACTTCACGTGTAATTAGTTCATATCTCACACAGCACACATATACTTCACGTGTAGTTAGTTCATATCTCACACAACACACATATACTTCACGTATAGTTAGTTCATATCTCACATAGCACTCATATACTTCACGTGTAGTTAGTTCATATCTCACACAGCACACATATTTTTCACTTGTAGTTAGTTCATATCTTATGAACATTGATGGACTGTTCTACCCTCTAATGTTTGTAAGCTGCATTACTGTTCAACATGTGCTACAGTCATTTATAAGCAGTATTCCTCAGTCAAATAGATTGAAACATGAAATATCCAGGCCAAATACATCCATATCCTTAACTATATCCATATCCATAAATACACCCATATCCATAAATACACCCATATCCATAAATACACCCATATCCATAAATACACCCATATCCATAAATACAACCATATCCATAAATACATCTTAATCCAAATCCACAAAAACATCCATATCCATGTCTTGACTGGATTTTTTTTGCTTATAAAAAATTTGAACGGCCTGACTACGCGTATCAAGTATTTTTAATTTGAATGTTACAAATGTGTGTACAAACTAACGTCTCCAAGCGAAGATTAATTGAAAAAAAATCATTTATCCATTTTCGAATTTGTTAGTTTTTGTGTACGCACAGAAGGTTATGTTACTACACTTTCACTGTATTGGTAGTTTTTGTTAACTACACTTTCACTGTTACTTGACGAAGGTAACACTATATTTCAAAAAGGTGATGTTGGTAATGTTACAAATGTTTGAAATACCAACAACAAAACCTCCCACTAAAACGGATCCCTTTCGAAATGTCCCACATACTGACATTTGCCAAGTATTTAATTTGCAAAATTTTTGTCCATATTCCATTAACAAAATTTCTTCTTTTTTCTGATTATCATTTGTAACAGACTATGTTTTCACAAGAAACCAGAGAGGTAGCATGAGTGAACAGTGAACTGTGTTGACCATATTTTACACGAGGAGAGAGAGAGAGTGAATTAATTGTATTTTTGAGAAGAAAATGTGAGCTCCACGTTTTTGGTGAGTAAATTATGTTTTTTGGTAAAGCGGTCGTTTCCACGCTTTGCTGGGTAATAAAAGGGGCAGTTGACCGAGAGGAGCTGAGAGTAGCTGAGAGAGTGGAGTTGTAGCTGAGTTGTAGCAGAGTGAGGACGCGTCTTTCTGAGTGGTGGAATATTATATATATATGTGAAATGATTACATTCATGCAAGGATTATTATTAATATTATCAGTGTAAAGTGTGATATAATAAAGTACTGTAAGTTTAACCAGAATTCAGTATCATTCTTTGCGTGCCTGGATAAGTGACTGGATAAGTGACTGGATAAGTAAGTGGAAGAATGGAAGAAGTCTCAGCCGGCATCCTGAAGCATTAATATAAAACAAGTGACCATGCTACTGACATAACGCACTAAGGAATAGCATGTCACACCAAGAGTTACAATGATGTCAGAGCATGTGTTACATCATTATTTATTAATTTTATCATTGTTATCATTTTTATAATTATGGTTATAGTAAAAGTAATAATTTATTATGATAGATTGAGTAGAATGAATTCTACTTGGTCTTTGGTTTCTACAGGGTAGTTTATAAGTGACATTTCTGGTCAACTTTTGACATCGCTATGCTTCCCTTACACTCAAAGCGACGCCGCTGTGGTAGGGATCCAGACAAGAAAACGGAAGACGTCATGTCAGTCCCCTCTTTGAAAGACAATATTTTTGAACTCTAATATTTGTGACAAGGGGACGTAAATACCTTGCCGAGATAGCAAGCTGCAAGCGAAAGCGAAAGTGAATTGTTCTATGTTGCATGCGGTAACCTTTTGAGATTTCGTTATTGTTTACTTTTTGAAAATGAAATAAAAAGAGTTGTTGCACTGGTTGGATAGGTGGAGACCATGCTATGCATGTGTGCGGGGTGGGTAGAGTTGGTTTTTTCTGGGAGGAGGCATGTCTGGTATGAGCTCATATGATACCAGATCTCATCTATTTCAATGACGCAGACATTATGCCATTGATGGGACACGAATAAGAACATGTTGCGTTGGTTGTAGACCGCTAAACAAAGAGCTCCATTCGACATCACATCATATTTATATCCCAACAAGAAGGAAGTAAAAATAAAGTCAACCAGGTTATCTGTTCAATCTCTGTTCTGTCTAGAATCGAAAATATAATAATATTCTTAAATCTCTGATTTATCATTTGTTAAAAAACTATTCGTGTCTCTGTTTGTTAATCTGTTAAGAACCGAGGTTTGTTCATATGTTCACAGCCAGTCACATACACAGAGATTAGTTCAAGAAAAATTTGATTGATACTGTTTTGTTTTACATACAAATTATAATTATTCCAGGCATTTTCCATGCCTAAAAATGCGTTTCTTCCGCCCTACACAATCTCAAGAACATATCTATCAAAGAGAATTTAACAAATCCTTCACAATTACCCATATCTCACCATGAAAAACACATTATCTTACTGACATTTCAGATGTATGACACAGTACATGACCAACATATCACTTGTATCACACACAACAATACTGATATCTCTCCATGTATGAAACATTAAATTATCGACATCTCACCATGTATGACACACTACATTACTGACATCTCACCATGTATGGCACACTACATTACTGACATCTCACTAATGTATGACACACTACATTACGGACATCTCACCATGAATGACGCACTACATTACCGACATCTCACCATGTATGACACACTACATTACTGACATCTCACCATGTATGACACACTACATTACTGACATCTCACCATGAATGACACACTACATTACCGACATCTCACCATGTATGACACACTACATTACCAACATAATTACAATGGAACAGACTTGTTGTTGGTGAAAGATCATTTACGTCTTAGAAGGTCATTTTCGTCTTACAGGTCATTTACGTCTCAGAAGTTCTTTTACGTCTTTTTACGTCTCAGAAGGCCATTTTCGCCGTAGAAGGTCCCTTAGGTGTTAGAAGGTCATGTACGTCTTAGGTGATTTACGTCTTTGAACGTCATTTACGTTTTAGAAGGCAATTTACGTCTTAGAACGTTACTTATGTCTCACATAAGGTCATTTAAACTTAGAAGGTCATTTAGAACTTAGGTGATTTACGTCTTTGAAAGTCATTGACGTCTTAGGAGGTCATTAACGTCTTAGAATGTAATTTACGTATTAGAAGGTCGTTTACGTCTTAGAAGGTCGTTTACGTCTAAGAAGGTCGTTTTCGACTTAAGTTACTGCCTTCTATAAATACTCAGCACATTATCTTTACGAGTGGCGCTTATGCCACGAAAGATTACTCTTTCCAAGATTGGAGATAATCCAACACACCCAGTTCCACACAAAGCTACACACACACAGTCAGACACAGTCACACACACAGTCAGACACACAGTCACACACACTGCTTTAGCTAATTTTGACACTAACAATCTATATTGAAAATCTTTCAATTCATATAACAATCAATCTTTAAAATCTCTCAATTACTTTGGCAATCTGTCTTTAACATCTCTTTATTACTGTGACAATCAATCTTTAAAATATCTCAGTTACTGTGACTATTTTTCTTTAAAATATCTCATTTATTGGGACAATCTATCTTTGAAATATCTCAATTACTGTGACAACCTATCCGTATCTAACATCTCTCAATTACTTTGACCATATGCCTGTCATACCTCTCAATTACTTTGACCATATTCCTCTAATACGTCTCAATTACTTTGACCAAATGCCTGTCATACCTCTCAATTACTTTGACTATATTCCTCTAATACGTCTCAATTACTTTGAACATATGCCTGTCATACCTCTCAATTACTTTGACCATATTCCTCTAATGCCTCTCAAATACCAGGGGTATAACTATTGCATACGAATATTTTGTCTAATTCCAAAAAAATTTAAGTCTATATCACAGGAGTGGGCAACCTGCCTCTATATCCCAGGAGTGGGAAACCTGCCTCTATATCCAAGGAGTGGGCAACCTGCCTCTATATCCCAGGAGTGGGCAACCTGCCTCTATATCCCAGGAGTGGGCAACCTGCTTCTATATCCCAGGAGTGGGCAACCTGCCTCTATATCACAGGAGTGGACATTCTGCCTCTATATCCCAGAGTGGCAACCTGCCCCTATATCTCAAGAAAAGGCAACCTGCCTCTATAACCCAGGAGCAACCTGCCTCTATATCCCAAGATAGGGCAACACTCCTCTATATAAACAGGATTGGGCAACCTGCCTCTATATCCCAGAAGTGGCCAACCTGCCTCGCTATCCCAGGATTGGGCAACCTGCGCCCCTCTGTATATTATGGTTGAAAACCCTGATCTATCCCATATCTCCAACACACTAGATCACATGTGTCAAACTCAAGGCCCCCGGGCCACATCTGGCCCGCCGAACAATTATATCAGGCCAGTGAGGAGACCCGCGTACACTTATATCCAAGTCAACGCTGTGGTGTTTCCCAATGTACACTTTGCTGAAAAAACTTAGCTTACATCACGCCGAGTTCGCACGGCGCTTTAGTGAATTTGAAGCACAGAAATGTAATTTCGAGCTGTTTCGTAACCCTTTCTTCATAGACGTGGTAACTGCACCTGTAAATTTGCAGATGGAGCTAATAAAGCTGAAGTGTAATGGGACACTAAAGGCAAAGTACGACACAGTTGGGCCTGCACAGTCCGCTCGTATCATTCTTGAAGAGATGCCCCGGCTTCGTCTACATGCGGCTCGAACCTTGAGCATGTTGGGTAGCACATATCTATGTGAGCAGCTGTTTTCTGTGATGAAGATTATCAATACATCACTCAAGAGTCGTCTCATTGATGAACACTTGCAGTACATCATGAGAATCTCATTGACACATAACGTCACTCCCAACTAAACGAACTTACTTTGTTTTTTAGCCAAGAAAATTTGCCATACATGGAGCTTTGACAAATTGGCATAAGAACGAAAATTGGTATGCCAATGATTTTTAATTATTAAAACTTTGTTCTGTTTTCATTTATATAAAGGTTTTTTTAAAAAAAAGATTATTTTTTTCGCGTATTGAATGTTTATCCTCTTTGGCCCGCAACCTTCCATGTGATTTGAGTTTTGGCCCGCAACCTTCCATGTGATTTGAGTTTTGGCCCGCAACCTTCCATGTGATTTGAGTTTTGGCCCGCAACCTTCCATGTGATTTGAGTTTTGGCCCGCAACCTTCCATGTGATTTGAGTTTTGGCCCGCAACCTTCCATGTGATTTGAGTTTTGGCCCGCAACCTTCCATGTGATTTGAGTTTTGGCCCGCAACCTTCCATGTGATTTGAGTTTTGGCCCACCGAGTGACTGAGTTTGACACCTGCACAAGACAATACATTTCTTTGCCCCCCCCCCTTCACCCTCCCGTTATATGAATGTCCAGAGAGACAGATGTTTACCTCCTAAATCTATCCACATGAAAAGTAGGTGGTCTTATAGCACTGATTGTGGTCAAACACGGCGTGCATGTGTGTGTGTGTGTATGTCGACGGATAATACTAATCTTCATTGTGTTGTCCTACAGAAGAAGACATTCCTCTCAATGTCCTTGCCTGACCACCACCCACCCCGCCCCAAAACAGTTGTTGAGCAAAGTTAAAGAGACATCTCGATGATCACGGCAACCTTCTGTTGCTATTGACCTTTCTTCTCATTTGCATCAAATTGCTGCCAGCATTTTAATTTGCCATGAAACTGAACAATCAAATGAGTGCTTCATCAGTTTGAGCTCACGTTTAGACACATGATACCATGTATGTACTTCGTACAAGTTTAACAGATACCCCAAGCCATTTTATCACCAAAAAAAGTATCCAAAATTCAAACTTACCGCTAGAATCGTTTATCTTGGACTGGTCGAATCTCCAACACCACATTTCCAAATTATAGATGTCATTTTCCTAGCCCCGCCTCTGGGAACAAAAAGTTTTTTTGTTTCGGGCCGTTATCAGCCTCGTTCTGAAGTTCTTAACATTTGGGGTGTGTTTCACTGCCAGGCAGTAATAAAAAATAAAATGAGTGGCGTGTTATGGAAATACAAAAATAACTTCAAGAAAACAGTCGAATGAATAAGTTATCATCAAGGAAGGAATACAAGGAAAGACATGCCTTGAAAAATGAAAAGATTAGGATGACTAGAGAAGGATCCCAAAGAGTCGTCCGCTGCTGGTCATTTCGATTACGCGTTATGCTCAGTTCACACAAGGGCTCGTTCCTAAATAGCGTCACGCAAAATTTGATTGTGTGAACTAAGCATTAATGAATGACACTTACGCCGCTGAGCAACTTGAGACACCATAGGAGTAAGGAGAAGAGGGAACCTATCTCATGCCAACGCTATTTTATTGGTAAAGTCCATTTGTGGGCGACTGTACCTCTTGATGTCGAAAAAAATATACAGTGTAAACGAAATTTTAACAATATTTTTTGTGTGTTTAAAATGTTCATTGTTTCAAATTAAACTCTGCTTTTTAAAAAATTCAAACCCTTTTTTTAAAAAATAATTTTATTTCTCGTGTTTTGACTTCGAAAAAAAATATTAGTATTTTAAACAACGCCAGAACGGTGTGCTTACGACAACCAGTCCACTATGTACAACCATCAGACTACGATGTACAACCACCAGTTTACGATGTACGACCACCAGTCCACTATGTACAACCATCAGACTACGATGTACAACCACCAGTTTACGATGTACGACCACCAGTCCACAATGTACAACCATCAGACTACGATGTACAACCACAAGTTTACGATGTACAACCACCAGTCCACTATGTACAACCATCAGACTACGATGTACAACAACAAGTTTACGATGTACGACCACAAGTTTACGATGTACAACGACAAGTTTACGATGTACGACCACCAGTTTACGATGTACGACCACCAGTCTACGATATACAACTACCAGTCTACGATATACAACCACCAGTGTACGATGTACGACCACCAGTCTACTATGTACAACCACCAGTCTACGATATACAACCACCAGTGTACGATGTACGACCACCAGTCTACTATGTACGACCACCAGTGTACGATATACAAACAATTGTGTACGATGTACAACCTCCAGTCTACGTGTACAACCACCAGTCTACGATGTACAACCACCAGTTTATGATGTACGACCACCAGTCTACTATGTACGACCACCAGTCTACGATATACAACCACCAGTGTACGATGTACGACCACCAGTCTACGATATACAACCACAATGTACGATGTACAACCACCAGTCTACTATGTACAACCACCAGTCTACGATATACAACCACCAATGTACGATGTACGACCACCAGTCTACTATGTACGACCACCAGTCTACGATATACAACCACCATTGTACGATGTACGACCACCAGTCTACTATGTACGACTACAAGTCTACAATGTACGACAACCAGTCTACTATGTACGACCACCAGTCTACTATGTACGACCACCAGTCTACTATGTACGACCACCAGTCTACGATTCAACCACCATTGTACTATGTACGACCACAAGTCTACGATGTACGACCACCAGTCTACTATGTACGACCACAAGTCTACGATGTACGACCACCAGTCTACTATGTACGACCACCAGTCTACGATGTACGGCCACAAATCTACTATGTACGACCACAAGTCAACGATGTACTACCACCAGTCTACTATGTACGAACACCAGTCTACTATGTTCGACAGCCAGTCTACGATATACAACCACCATTGTACTATGTACGACCACAAGTCTACGATGTACGACCTCCAATCTACTATGTACGAACACTAGTCTACGATGTACGACCACCAGTCTACTATGTACGACCACCAGTCTACTATGTACAACCACAAGTCTACGATATACAACCACAAGTGTACGATGTACGACCACAAGTCTACGATATACAACCACCAGTGTACGATGCACGACCACCAGTGTATGATGTACGACCACAAGTCTACGATTTACAACAACCAGTCTACGATATACAAACACAAGACTACGATGTACAACCACCAGTCTACGACATACGACCACCAGACTACGATGTATAACCACCAGTCTACAATGTACGACCACCAGTCTACGATGTACAAACAATAGTGTACGATGTACAACCACCAGTATACGATGTACAACCACCAGTTTACGATGTACGACCTTCAGTCTACTATGCACGTTCACCAGTCTACGATATACAACAACCAGTGTACGATGTACGACCACAAGTCTACGATGTACAACCACCAGTCTACGATATACAACCACCAGTGTACGATGTACGACAACAAGTCTACTATGTACGACCACTAGTCTACGATGTATGACCACAAATCTACTATGTACGACCTCAAGTCTACGATGTACGACAACAAGTCTATGATATACAACCACCAGTCTACTATATACAAACACCAGGTAACGATGCATGACCACAAATCTACTATGTACGACCACAAGTCTACGATGTACGACCACAAGTCTACGATATACAACCACCAGTCTACTATATACAAACACCACGTAACTATGTACGACCACCAGTGTACGATGTACGACCACTAGTCTACGATTTACAACAACCAGTCTACGATGTACAACCACAAGACTACGATGTATAACCACCAGTCTACGATTGACGACAACCGGACTACGATGTACAACCACCAATCTACAATATACAACCACAAGTCTACGATCTACAACCACCAGTGTACGATGTACGACCACCAGTCTACTATGTACGACCACCAGTCTACTATGTACGACCACCAGTCTACTATGTACGACAACCAGTCTACGATGTACGACCACAAATCTACGATGAACGACCACAAGTCTACGATGTACGACCACAAGTCTACGATATAAAACCACCAGTGTACGATGTACGACAACCAGTCTACTATGTACGACCACCAGTCTACGATGTATGACCACAAATCTACTATGTACGACCACAAGTCTACGATGTACGACCACAAGTCTACGATATACAACAACCAGTCTACGATATACAAACACCAGGTAACGATGTACAACCACCAGTGTACGATGTACGACCACTAGTCTACGATTTACAACAACCAGTCTACAATGTACAACCACAAGACTACGATGTACGACCACCATTCTACTATGTATGACCACTAGTCTACGATATACAACCACCAGTGTACGATGTACGACTACCAGTCTACTATGTACGACCACCACTCTACGATATACAAACACCAGTCTACTATATACAAACACCAGGTAACTATGTAAGACCACCAGACTACGATGTACGACCACTAGTCTACGCTTTACAACAACCAGTCTACGATGTACAACCACAGGACTACGATTTATAACCACCAGTCTACGATGTACGACCACCGGACTACGATGTACGACCACCAGTCTACTATGTACGACCACAAGTCTACGATGTACGACCACCAGTCTTTTATGTACGAACACCAGTCTACTATGTACGACCACCAGTCTACGATGTACGACCACAAATCTACTATGTACGACCACAAGTCTACGATGTACGACCACCAGTATACTATGTACGACCACCATTCTACTATGTAAGACCACCAGTCTACTATGTACAACCACCAGTCTACGATATACAACCACCATTGTACTATGTACGACCACAAGTCTACGATGTACGACCACCAGTCTACTATGTACGACCACCAGTCTACTATGTACGACAACCAGTCTACGATGTACGACCACAAATCTACGATGTACGACCACAAGTCTACGATGTACGACCACAAGTCTACGATATACAACCACCAGTGTACGATGTACGACAACCAGTCTACGATGTACGACCACAAATCTACGATGTACGACCACAAGTCTACGATATACAACCACCAGTCTACGATATACAAACACCAGTCTACTATGTACGACCACTAGTCTACGATATACAACCACCAGTGTACGATGTACAACCACCAGACTACGGTATACGACCACCAGTATACCAAATACGACCACCAGACTTCGATATACGACCACCAGTCTACGACGTACGACCACCAGACTACGATGTACAACCACCAGTCTACAAGATACAACCACCTGTCTACTATGTACGACCACCAGTCTACGATATACAACCACCAGTCTACGATATACCACCACCAGTCTACGATATACGACCACCAGTCTACGCTATACGACCACCAGTCTTCGATATACGACCACCAGTCTACGATATACTACACCAGACTAATATTTTTCCACCATAGCTGACCCTTAAAACAAATCAATTATGCTGAAACATATGATAAGGAAATAACTGTTAAGTTTTGGATTTCAGATTTTGATGGTTTCAAGGTAGTGTCCCAAAATACCATCGCCAGGTTGTTGTTTTTCCCTCTTAGAGTTACAATATACGTCCTTCATGCTATCTGGAGCGGAAATGAAGAAGGAAGTTTTTTTATTAAATACCATGAATTCGTTGATGTGTTGTGTTGGGAAATTCAGATTCAACTTTCACTCACAGATAACACGTTTCAGGTATATTTACATTCAAAACAACACAGATGATAATCTTATACTATGCGCTCTGTTCAACATCCGGCTGATGAAAGCCCTCATATCTTGCAAACTATGACCGGATAAAAGGTAGGGGTTGCGGAGAGGACCCAAGGCAATGAGTAGAAAGAGTTTTTGACACCCTTGGCCTTTTTACTTTTTTTTCTGTTAAAACACCTGCTGCTTATTTGTCAAAGCCCCCCTCCCCCCCCCCACCTTTTCTTCTTTTTCTAAATATTAAGGACCCACGATCAAGTTATTGATCATTTTGGCTCCTAATTATGTAGAGGGGATTTGCAATGTTTCTATGGCTGGTGTTGGTGAGGACATTTCACTGGTGGCAAGGGCTTCTTTGTGAGGCTATTATGC